ATATATAATATCATATATAATATCATATATATAATATCATATATATAAGGCCGATTCTAGTCGGAATAAGATACGCATGCGATACGCATGCGCAATGGAGAGAAACTACGACTTAGCTGCGATGTTTTCGATGGTACTGCGCATGCGTGTGTTTACAACCGCAGAACCCTAATACCAACCCTAATCCTATCCTTAACCCTATCCCTAATCCTAACCCTAACCCTAACCCTAGCCCTAATCCTATCCCTAACCCTATCCCTAACCCTATCCCTAATCCTACCCCTAACCCCTCATTCTAGCCCTAACCCTAGCCATAGGTCACTGCGCATGCGCAGAACTATCTTTTGCCGAAAAATCTTATTCCGAGTAGACACTTCGTATATATAATATTATATATATAATATCATATATATAATATCATATATATAATATCATATATATAATATCATATATATAATATCATATATATAATATCATATATATAATATCATATATATAATATCATATATATAATATCATATATATAATATCATATATATAATATCATATATATAATATCATATATATAATATCATATATATAATATCATATATATAATATCATATATAATATCATATATAATATCATATATATAATATCATATATATAATATCATATATATAATATCATATATATAATATCATATATATAATATCATATATATAATATCCTATATATAATATCATATATATATAATATCATATATATAATATCATATATATATAATATCATATATATAATATCATATATATATATCATATATATAATATCATATATATAATATCATATATATAATATCATATATATAATATCATATATAATATCATATATATAATATCATATATATAATTTCATATATATAATATCATATATATAATATCATATATATATAATATCATATATATAATATCATATATATATATCAGGCCGTGGAATGGCGCCCTCGGGAGCCCCCGGTTAGACTACGGCAGGGGCGCCGCGAACGACCTCTGGCTCGGTTTAATCATCGAATGTCATGTGCAAGCGTGTCAATATTGTAGGGTGCTCTTTAAAACGAACGTAGACGCTATAGTGCTCACAGGATAGCACGGGCGCAAATCGCACCCTGTCTGGGCGCCGGTGGTCGCGCCTGATTCAATTTAGTGAACGACTATACTACCACATCTTATCCATACTCTATCGCATTCTTTAAAACTAACGTGTGCGCCATAGCGCTCAAAGGAAAGCCTGCCGAGCCAAATAGCACCCTGCGGGGGTGCCGGGAGGACGCGCCTGATTCGATTTAGTGAGCTACTATAACCTATTGAATCCATAGCATAACGCACTCTTTAAAACGAACGTAGGCGCCATTGTGCTCAAGGGAGAGCCCGGGGGTCCCAAATAGCCACCTGCCAGGGGGAGGCTCCTGATTCGATGTAGTCAACGATTATTGTTGTCCATCGTGTATAGGCTTTTTTTTTTTTAAACGAACGTAGGGCGCCGAAGTGCTCACATGGGAGCCCGGGGGCGCCTTCGGTCACGCAATTTCCGTGTCGCCGGCGGCTGCATCTGTTGTAGTTTTACAGCTGAATATAATAGCACCCTTTACCCACTATGCAGGGACTCCCAATTAACGGGGATACCAAGTGCAAAGATAGCCGCTCTGGAACTATGGGCGCCAAAACCGTATATTGACTAAAATCGCACCCTATCGGGCGACGCTCAAAAGAAATTTTTTCTTTTTTGCAGAAACCTCCACTGGAGTGTTCTAATCTACTCCCCAAAGTTTCATGGCACTCGGATGAACAGTGTCAAACCGCAATCGACTTTTCTTATAATAAGATGAACCGAATCGCGCCCTGCGTTTGTTTTAAACAGTGCGATAGACTAAGAAAAAGATGAGGATATCATAGTTGTTCACTAAATTGAATTAGGCTCATCGCCGGCACACTGGCAGGGTGTGATTTGGCGCCCCGGGCTATCCTGTGAGCACTATGGCGCCTACGTTACTTTTAAGGATCAACCTGCAATATTGACACAGTGGCACAGGCCATTCGATGAATAACCGAGAGCACCCCTTTACGTCACTGACAGCGGTCGCTGAAGTGTGTTCTACATCACTATTACGGAGAGTACATTCAAAGCTTTCATACAGGACGCACTTGGGCGGTAGCGTGGGCAAACCCCTGCCCCGACAAATATGATCCAAGTAATATAGCGCAGACACTGTTTACATTTAAATAACTCAGTTTTAGAAAACAAGATCACACGTCTAAGAACATAGCATTGGTAACGCACTGATGAAACCCTCTTAAAATATTTCGTCCGACTTTATTCTATCCCCGCAGCAACGCACAGGGACGGGCACGCTAGTCTACTATAAAAATAAAAGTCACCGGTACCCATTAAATCTTAAATAATATGTTCAGGATCGCCAATTATATTAAAACTTAAATGTATAATAACTACATAAACAATTTAAGCAAAATTACTCAGCTTATGTTTTCAATAATAAGAGTTCTCTGCCTCTATCAAAACAGCAGATATGTTCCAACTGATCAGCTTACACGTAATACTGGACCCGTTAACACTAACAGTTATTGTGTAGCTAGAAGTCTCCGTCCCCCCCCCCCTTTCCGAGCTCCCACAATTTTTTCCATGGCTCGCCCTTAAATCACTACCTGTCTGCGGTAGAAATAAACCCACAATCTATCGGTTGCCTCTGAAATATTTGGTCTAATGGGAGCGTGTGTGTGTGTGGGGGGGGGGGCGTTATATAGCTATGCGATATTTTATCTCACTGACGTGCTAATCCATATGTAATTGGCTTATATTGTAACGAGCTGACCCGCTATCTAGTTGTTTTATTTTCTACTTATCAACATTCAACAATTCATAATATGTGAATTCGACACTACCCCCCCCCCCCCATGCGTGATAACATGTGCACTGTAGGTTGCATAAAAAATATCTAGAAACGGCGGAGAATGTACTTTTTTTTAATCATGCTTTTACTTAGTTCACAATGTCCGTTTGTCTGTTAGTAGGTTTTTGCCAAATCTTGTAACTCAGTTTTGACCCACTTCTGATGTAGCGATTTCGTTCAAACTATCCAGATATTTTCATCTACAATGGCAATGCAATTATCTAATTAGACATTAGATAAGTCATCAAAAATTAATTCAAAGATGAGCGCCCGATCAGTCTGCTGAGCTGTGGTTCACACCTAATGTTCGGTCACAGTTGGTTGCCTGAGCGTCGACCACTAACTAGGGGCAGCTAACTATATTGAAAGCTATTATTCGGGTTTTAACGCAAATATTTTTTGTCGTAAACCTATGTGTAGTGTCAACTTAATTTAGAACAGACGACTAAAAAGTGGAAAATAAAACAAGTATAAAAAGCAAGCTTTTAAATGCACCGAAAGTAAGATAATTAAAAAAAAACTTGCTTTCTTTAATTTAATGCACACACGCAACTTTGACCCATTTCTAATGTCTAGACATTTGAATATTAAGGCGCACACCATAACAATAACTCATCCACCTCTAGTGTTACGGTTAGATATCCTCTTCTCTTTGGGGCGGGGTGGGGTAACGTTTTGCCGAGGCTGATCTGGACAAGATCCCGTTTGTCTTTAATGCATTACTACACCCTTCACCCCATCGCCAACTAAGCTTCGATTATTTTGCTAAAATATTAACTGGGTTGTTTCTCTTTGTAGATTGTCCATAAAAATTAGGGGCATGAAAAGAAAACTAAATCTGTTTTAAGCTGTGAGACATTTTATTTCGCGGGGGGGGGGGGGGGGGGGGGGAATTTAAAATTTGCGAAGGGGGGGGGGGGGGCAGACGCTCGTTAAAGTAGCCGTATATTTTCTTTATAGATTATTTATAGATTACTTTTCATTTCTGTGGGGGGGGGGGGTGGGGGTGGGGAGTGCTGATTGGGCGTCCACAGCAGGGAAAAAAATTTAAATTTAAGGACGCTTCTTATGATAAAAATCAATTGTTACCAATGATAATTTAAAGACGCGTAACCTAATTTTTTTTTCTGTGTACATGTATAGCTATCACTGGTAGTCTTAAATAAATGCTAAAGACTTCACTTATTGAAGAATCTTGATACTTGTTTCATGTACTGGTCATAAAGTTAAAAAAAAATTAAACTAAAGCAATTCGTTTCTTTAATAAGGAAAAAAATACCGTTATTTCTTCTCATGTTAAAAAGGGTGTAACTGCCAACATATAAGCGCTAAAGCTTTGTGACAGCTCGCTGATGTTCGCGTGGTGGTTGTGGGGTGTGAGTTACATCCAGTTATCCCCAGGCTTACACCATCAGCACAGCGTGGTTCAACTGCGGTGCTAGAGCCTGTTGTGTGGAGTCTCAGTCGGGCTTGTTCGCCGTGGTGCGTACTCGATTTTAAATTGCTGCTGTGTGTAGTGGCACACTGACGCCAAGTTAATGATAGACTGAAGTAAGTGGCATTTTGACAGTTAATTTGTTGCAGATTGACGCCAAGTAGCTACAGCGTGTAGTAAGTTAGTGGCATACCGGCACCTCTTAGTGGCAAACACCAGTAAGTGTTAGGTTAACGCTTTAGTGACTCGTATATGCCAGCTAGTGGTAGACGAGGCCAGTTAGAGATGGATCACCGCCAGTTAGAGATGGACCACCGCCAGTTAGAGATGGATCACCGCCAGTTAGAGATGGACCACCGCCAGTTAGTGTAAAGCGCTACTGTTGAGCGCATCACTGCTGCCCCACGTCACGGTCGTAGATCAGTTCCCCTTGTCTTTTATTGGCTGAACGTTACCACTGCTGGTGAACGCAAATGGAGACCGCTGTACTGTAGCATTAATTAAGCTTTATCTACGGTCAGTTCGACGTCATCCGATTTCACAGTAGCATGGGACATAATCGCGCTCGGTGCGTGGCTGGGAGTACAGCCCCATAGTAGAGTTTCTGGATAGTGCTGTTGTGTGGGGTAGGTTTTTTTTCCCCAGTTGTTTGCCTCTTTTTATATTTTGTCATAATATTACTGTGTAAATTACAGAAGTGGGAATGTATTTTCAGTGTGTTAGTGTTAACCGTAATATATATTTTAATCGCTAAGCAAAAGGTAGGCTAAGTAAAGTTGAAAAAAAAAATAACCTTGTTAAATATTTCTTATGAACAGACGTAAGATAATGTGCTTTGATGCAATAAAATTGTAGGGAGTATTTCAGTATTAGATTGTTTGTTCTATTCATTGGCATTTATCTGGAGATAATGGCATATTGAAATACATTTAATAATACAATGTTTTTGTTGATTAACACAAAAAGTCATCAAGAAATTATGATAAGACCTGTTCATTTAAACTTAGATCTGTTTATTTAAACTAAAAAAAAAAACGCACAATGGTCGGACACCTGGTATAATAATTGTAATAGTTGACCCGTGGGGTCAACAGCTATCTGGGCGATTATCTCAAGTGTTATCTTGACCCCTACGGATACGTACCATAGTTTAAATCTCCAGTTTTATCTCTTATGCCATCTGATATCGTGACGCTTTATCTTAGTTTTTTGTTTTGGTTGGGCTTGATATCATATGTATTTTAAATGTGTTGCTAATCGACAGGTGGGACGTGATCATGTAATAATAGTAACAATTGCTACGTGATTGAGATGACATCTATCTTAGGTGTTAGTGGTGTGTAACTGTAACAACACGCTAACTTTTGACAGGGTATTTGTAGGTGTTGTTGGTGTGAGAAGCTCCGTGTAACTTTAACAGCACGATAACTTTTGGCGGGGTTTTCGTAGGTGTTGTTGATGTGAGAATCCCTGACTAACTTTAACAGCACGATAACTTTTTCGGGGTTTTCGTAGGTGTTGTTGGTGTGAGAAGCCCTGTGTAACTTTAACAACACGATAACTTTTGGCGGGGTTTTTGTAGGTGTTGTTGGTGTGAGAAGCCCTGTATAACTGTAACAACACGATAACTTTTGGCGGGGTTTTCGTAGGTGTTGTTGGTGTGAGAAGCCCTGTGTAAATTTAACAGCACGATAACTTTTGACGAATTTTTCGAATTCCTTTATAGTAGTCGTACATATATCACATCACGTATTTACTTTTTTTTGCCCTCCTCCGCGCCCCTATTATTATTATCACCAGGAAAAATCCTAATCCTCACTCTTAAAGTGACGTCAAAGCATCTTATCCTCTACCATAGAAAACCCATTATTTAAGCGAAAATTAACATGTTTTCATCACCCTAACGTCTAGGTCGTCTTACACAATATATGCTGGGTCACTCTCACACACCCCCCCCTGTTTTAATTTTTTCATTTTTTGGGTGCCCCTTTTATCACAGAGGGACTGAAATATCTGGGAGCGAGTCCTGGTAATTATTGCTGAAATATCAGCCAGCAGCTCAAGCGAAAGGTTTCTTTGATATTCATTTTCTGCTTAATGCGATCGTTTAGAATTTTTTTTTTTTTTTTTTTTGCAAAGTTCCCTTCTGTTAAAATGATATCAAATTACTCCAAACTCGATTATAAAAAATTCAAGTGAACCTAAGGTTTTATTTTCTGCGTGTATGGCGTATTATCGTTAGAGTTTAAATAACAGTTTAATTAATCAAATCACATTTCAGCTGAATTAGCTTAAAATAATACGGTGAACAGAAATATCACGCAGTGTATTTGCATTTATCCGCATACCTATTTTTAGATTCGAATCCGAGAACAAAGCATAAACTGAACAAATGCCATGTACCGTCTAGACGGCATACTCATACATTAGGGCCGTTTTTACGCTTGATATAAGACATTATTTATACTCTTGCAGGTATTTCCTTAAGACTTGAGCTGAATTTTAATGTACGGGTCACTAGCTTTCAACCCTGCTGTTTTCTATTATCAGGTTAGAAAGAGAGGATTTGTATTGTTGTAGGCTTAACGCTAGTAGTGACTGCGTGTGGTCTCATACAACTTTTTATGGTCTCGTCAAAGAGGTCAGATTTGTCAGAATATGTCCGAATGTACTCCTTGTTCCGGTCAAGCTATAGAGCGATTAGTCGGCTCGATTTTGTTTTACAGTTTGAAGGGCTTAGGGCCTATCTTGATTTATATTCTTGAATATAAACAAAATCGACAGGTGTATACATGACCAGCAGTAGTCTAATAGCGTGTCTCTTTTCAGAACAATGAAGAATCCAAGTGTCTCTGACAAAATGGCAGCATCCCCGGACAAAATGGCAGCATCCCCTGACAAAACGGTTACTTTGTCCGACAAGATGGCTACCCTGTCTTCCATTTGGGAGTCCTACGCCCAGCTGGTCAGATGGCGCCATGACCGACTCACGGAGCAGAAGTTACAGGTAAGCTTTTTACCTGATCTTTACTTGTCACATCCTTATGTGTTCTTACCTTTATTTCCAACATCTTGGCCTTGCGTGTTTAATCTACATTTCAACTCCAGCTGTAATTTATAATTAGTATACGAAGGCATGTTTGACACAGATAATTTGTTTTGTTTCCACTACAACTGTGTGTATGTTAATTAGCATAGTATATCCGTCACAACCAAGACGTTTAATTCACCAACCTTGCTGCTGTAGTGCGGCCAGTTCAACCTTTCTTACATCAAATATTTAAAATCAACCTTTATCTATGGACGGCCGTCTAGTGGAGATATTAGATTCTCAAACGTTGCACTCACCGTCTGAGTATTTTAACATTTCAACATTTACAACAAATGTTCCTTAAATAAAACAAGTATAAAAACTCTTATTATAGTAAACTTTTGCATGCACTGAAAATTAAAATTCATCTTTAGTAAAAGCATTGGTTCCTTAAAAATGTACTAAAAAATAATTTGAATGTGAAGCGACAGGTGCAGATTACTACACACTAATTCAGTAAATCTGATCACAAGCAAGGCCAGGCCAGGGTGATGACATGGCCAGAGATGGTGGGCGAATGACCATTGCTGGACACGACATGTTATATCTTTGTATCTTCGTATCAGGGTAAACAAGCAGAGACCCAGAGAGTTATATAACTGTTGTTGTCTGGATTAGGGCCAGATGTGGGCTGTGGTGAGGGGGAGAATGGGTTGTAAATATTCAGGGCTGATTACCTATAACCTGTGTGACAGACAGCTGTGTAGGTGGTGGGGTCGTTACTGACACAGGTTGTGTGTAGCCGGTCTGATGCATATGTGAGTGGTCAACTGTAAGACAGTAATGATGCACTCGTACTTTGACTGATACATGATGCAGTCATGTGGTCATATGTATAGCTGATATAATAACTATGACTTAACACTGAAGTCCCTTATATGTTTATGTAAATGTAACGCTAATTATTATTTTTTTGGTTGACGAATTTAATGTAATGATTTAGTTATGAAGATAATATGATAATGCTTTGGCTTTTTTTGACATGCTGCCAATGTCTATGTGTGCGTGATGAATGTTATCTACTGCAGGTCTGTGTTTTTTGTGTGCCTAACATGTGCCTGATAGAGATGAATGTAGGCACGTTTCTGTTGTGTGTGCGTGTGTTTGTGCGTGCGTGTGTGTGTGTGACTACTGTATATAGTATATTGCTTGTAAAAGCTGTGTTGACTTGTTATATGCTTACTTGTTTGTTGACTTGTCATGTGTTGATTTGTGGTTTAACTTTTCGTGTGTTGACTAGTGTGTTCGCTTATATATTGACTTGTCATATGTTGTCAAATGTTGATTTGTCGTGTGTTGACTGGTGTGTTGGCTTGTCATATGTTGTCAAATGTTGATTTGTCGTGTGTTGACTGGTGTGTTGGCTTGTCATATGTTGTTTTGCACATTTTACATTATACTTTTTTACCTAGCTCAGGAACAGTATCCAATGACAATTTTAAAATACATTTTTGTTTCAGTATAATATTGTAATCGACACATCTATTTTAGCACTGTGAACCCAACAAACGCTGTATACTCTTCATATCTGGGGAAATAGTCCGGGCCTTTGTTTCAGTTTTTCTTTCAGCCTGTGTTTATTTAACGTGAACCGCTCACACTCAGTTTCCTTAAACAAAGGATTCCAGTGCTTGATTCTACTTCCTACTTCGTTTACACGACCTATTTCAGCAAGAAGCAGAAGAAAAACCCTTCATCACAACTTGTCTACTATTAAAACTCCATAAAGATTACTCAACATTTCGAACATGGACCTCTACAGCAGAAATAATTTGTATAAACCCAAAGAGTTAAAATCATAGCGCACTGCTACTAATAAAAAAGTACAAATAAATGTAAAGTAGTACAATGCTACCAAAACTGATTGAATGAAAGTATGTTATTCCCACATCAAACAAGAAAAAAGTGCCTACGCCGGTTGTGACAACTTTTTCGTCCATTATGAGTGGAATATGTAACGAAAAGTTAACCCACACCCAGTATGTGTTTGATCTCCACCCATCAACATCTGTGTACATCGCTCAAAAACGCAGTGGAATTAAAGTAGTCAGGAAACTCTTCAGTTAGGCCAACCTTATATACATCACGTGCATTTTTATGTAGCGACTTAGCTAAACCCGGCTGACCTTGGTTGGTAAACCAGAGCAACTAAACCAGAGCAACGTCGACGTGAAGAACGCACCTCCCGTACTCGGCTGACATTGGCCGAAAACAGGTTACAATTTTACATCAACTGCAGAATGTAGATCTTGTTGGGTTTTGTTTTTCTCAGCGTAATTTCCCCCTCCCCCTCCACACTTTCTGACCGCATTTTAGTGGGTAGACGCTTCATAGGCGTGCCGCTGTGAATACTTGAATAAAAGGAGGGGGGGGGGGCACTAAAATACATGTTTCTATGCTATTTGTCATTTGCTTACATGTCATATTGCTTGTGAAATTTACCATGCCTTCTACTAGTATTTAACAGCCATTTCACATTGTGTATTTGCTTGCCGTTTTTATTTCTCGTGTCTTTTTATCTGCCTACATGCCATGTCTTGTCATTTACATATATGCCATTTATGTCATCTGCCTACATGCCATGTCTTGTCATCTGCCTAAATGTCATGTCCTGTCATCTGCCTACATGCCATGTCTTGTCATCTGCCTACATGCCATGTCTTGTCATCTGCCTACATGCCACGTCTTGTCATCTGCCTACATGCCATATCTTGTCATCTGCCTACATGCCACGTCTTGTCATCTGCCTACATGCCATGGTTTGTCATCTGCCTACATGCCATGTCTTGTTATCTGCCTACATGCCACGTCTTGTCATCTGTCTACATGCCACGTCTTGTCATCTGCCTACATGCCACGTCTTGTCATCTGCCTACATGCCATGCCTTGTCATTTACATATATGCCATTTATGTCATCTGCCTACATACCATGTCTTGTTATCTGTCTACATTCCACTTCTTGTCATTTACTTACACGTCACATTTGCTCTGTCACGAGTATGCATGTCACAATCTTGTTATCACTCGTCTTGTCAACACTTTTCATGTCGTGTTTTAGTTATCGCCCCTCACGTGCCTGCATGCTATGTGAAATACCGGTAAGATGGAAAGTGTTTCTCACAGCCCCTTCCCGGACACGTCCACCGTCTCTCGGACGAAATAGAAAAAAATAAAACCATACCACCATTTTTATCGCATGCCTCCGTGAAGTTTAAAGATCCCCCTTCCCCTCCGGAACCAAATGTCTGAACGAAACCTGGTTGGGAAAACGCAAATAGAGCAAAACAGCCTCTCTACCCACATTCCCTCATGTATTAGTTTGTTTATGGTTGTCTTAAGCTACACATTTTATGCGTAAATAGCGAAAAAAAAGTATAAAATGGTAGCCCTTAATTAATGTCGTGGATATTTTTTTTGTCCAGCGAAACAGAACTCGAGATGTTTGAAACTTTAAAAAATTGTGTTTTATTTTTAAAACGTCTGGTGTAGCGTATTTTAAACTGCTGGTTTGTTGTACTACATACGTGATGTCACAAATCTCCTACATACACACACACTCGCGCTCGTTTTAATTCTTAATGCCTGGGGGGGGGGTCTTCTAACTATTTTCTTGCATTAAACACGTCGCAGGTTAATTAATGCACGTATAAAACAAGACCACAAAATATGGTCCAAGAAATAATCGTCCAAATATCCCATTCAGTGACGATCGAGTCATCCGAGTTGACCAGATGGGTTCAATCATTACTGTTGCCATGGATTTAGCTATCAAAGCGGCCGTTAAAATTAAAATAAAACAAAATGAAAGATAACCTTCAGCCTGAAAAAGAAATGTCATATATTAAATATATGTCATATATTAAATATGTCATATATATGTCATATATTAAATATTTAAATATATTAAATATGTCATATATATGTCAGCGTCCTTTACATAACAAGTTTATAGTTGACAGCTAAACCACGTGAACGAATATATCAGCCCCACCCCTTACTCCTCTCCCCATTGCTTTACATATCCATTTTTTGCTCTAATTCTGGTGTATTTTCTTGACCCTGTTCCTGTTATGCAACTGTAAAAAAAAAGCGACATGCGCCGGTTAAACACCTCATTTTTTTTTTCCTTACGTTAGTTTACATTACAATCTAGGTTTCACTCTCTGGGGTTAGATTATGTAACTTTCTACCACGGCGGGAAGTAGCGTCCCCGCACTGAAGTTAAAGCTCGTCTGCTGGATTAGATGTTGCCGCCCAAATCGTCTGCTAGATGTTCGCCGTCAAGTCTAGCAGTGCCGTGTAAAAAGAGCGCAGAAACGGACCGTGCTATATGTTTGTATAGGAGAAGTAATAATGGCCTAGCGGCGGGACATCTACCACAGACTCACTCGTTACACACAACCTGATTACTTGATTACAGTGTTTCTTCCAGACTTCCGGACACTGTTAGAAGTATATATTTTCTATATAAATTCCATTGCGTTCGGGGGGGGGGGGGGGCTTGATTACAAACATATTGGTACCAGAACACCACCAAACCAGTTTTTTTTTTACACAGGGCAGATAGAAAAAATCAGATGTTTTTCAACTCTTCAGTTGCATGTATGTTCCTGAGTTTTAACTGCAGGTCCCCTTCAGTTTTTATGTTAATATTTTCCTGGAATAAAACCCCCAAAGTGAAGAGACACTAGACATGAGTGTTACTGCAATATCATACAAATATTAATACTGACCCTTGCGTTGACAATTATGTTTTAAGTATGTACTTCATTCTCTAAATATAGAACAATTTATTATTAAACAATCAAATCGATTAGGTAACCATTATATTTATTGTCACATATTACATCACAAGTCTAATCAGTAATCCTCTGTTGTGGTAAAAATATTTTTTTCTTGATCTAAACGTAAACAGATAGGTCATTAGGCTTAACAACCTGCCTCATACATAGCTAACGGGAATCACATTTTTCGTTTTCTGTACGCTACAAGTGTGTATATGTGTACATAGATTTCATATCCGCTTTGACTTGAAAACAACTTTCGGCTTGATCGTGTGGTGACAGTTTCGTTTGAGTCGACCTGACTCAGGTTCACGCTGTAGCTGTGGTCGATGTGGGCTAACATGGAATCTTTGTTTACATTTCAGCAACAGAGGTTTGTGCTGGACAAGTTCGTTGACCAGTTTATCAACATTAGTCTGGTGGACCGGGTGGACGTTTGTATAGGGTGAGTTGGTCAGTTTATCAACATTAATGTATGGTGAGTTGGTCAGTTTATCAATATTAGTCTGGTGGACCGGGTGGACGTTTGTATAGGGTGAGTTGGTCAGTTTATCAACATTAATGTATGGTGAGTTGGTCACTTTATCAACATTAGTCTGGTGGACCGGGTGGACGTTTGTATAGGGTGAGTTGGTCAGTTTATCAACATTAATGTATGGTGAGTTGGTCAGTTTATCAACATTAGTCTGGTGGACCGGGTGGACGTTTGTATAGGGTGAGTTGGTCACTTTATCAACATTAGTCTGGTGGACCGGGTGGACGTTTGTATAGGGTGAGTTGGTCAGTTTATCAATATTAGTCTGGTGGACCGGGTGGACGTTTGTATAGGGTGAGTTGGTCAGTTTATCAACATTAATGTATGGTGAGTTGGTCAGTTTATCAACATTAATGTATGGTGAGTTGGTCACTTTATCAACATTAGTCTGGTGGACCGGGTGGACGTTTGTATAGGGTGAGTTGGTCAGTTTATCAATATTAATGTATGGTGAGTTGGTCACTTTACCAACATTAATGTATGGTGAGTTGGTCAGTTTACCAACATTAATGTATGGTGAGTTGGTCAGTTTAACAACATTAATGTAGGTGAGTTGGTCACTTTATCAACATTAATGTATGGTGAGTTGGTCAGTTTAACAACATTAATGTATGGTGAGTTGGTCAGTTTATCAACATTAATGTATGGTGAGTTAGTCACTTTATCAACATTAATGTATGGTGAGTTAGTCAGTTTAACAACATTAATGTATGGTGAGTTGGTCAGTTTATCAACATTAATGTATGGTGAGTTGGTCACTTTATCAACTTTAATGTATGGTGGGTTGATCACTTTATCAACATTAGTCTAGTGGAGAGATTAAACGTTTGTAGAAGGTGACATTGGAGTGACCCATTATTTTAATATAGCTTGCTTTCAATTTTCGCCCCAGTATTGGAGAAAGAATACGCATCATCAAACCTTTATTCTTTTGTAGCTGCTCTGCATTTTTAAAATAGGAAAGCTAAAAATAAAACAAGCCAAGTTTTTTAGTGGGAATTTTTTGTACGGTAAACATTGGCCTTGAACTCAACAGATGTAGGGCAGGCCGGTGTATTCCATGTGGGAGAAAGCTCGCACTTTTAGAATTGAGTAAATTCAACTCACCCAGATAAATCATTTCTCGTTGACCATCATGCTAATCTGTTTGCTAACAGCAACGGTAATTTCCGTTATAACCGACTTACGTAAAACGTAGTTTGTCCGTTCACTTCTTCCCACCATTATAAATCACTACCAGGACAGCGCTTTATCGTGCTTAAGTTTTTATTTCTTTTCGGGTTCCATTGTTTGTGTTAAGATTAGGGTTGTCGACAGTGTTATGGCTAAACAAGATACAGCTTAGGGCTCACGCTTTCTTGTCCCGGCCAAGCCCCCCCCCCCCCCCGCACATTTTTTTAAAAACTATTTTTTAAATTCTTTTCTTTTTTTTTTCAAACCGTGGTGGAGGCCGAGTTTGCTTTCCACTTACACACTCATTTTTTTATTTGCAGACTTCGTTTTAAAAATGCAATTATTTGGCTCCTGACACATACTATCAGGACTTAACAAAGGCCCCCATATCGAAGATAACTTAGCGCCTTATGAAATATAAATCAGGTCATGGTGGTACAAGTAAAACAAAAAGACATCGACTACGTCTTGCCCACGTTTTAATAAGTTCTGTGAATTCTAACTTGACTCTATGCAGTCCTACTAAATTAGCCTAAAGCTGTTCAGTTTCTATCACTAACCAAAAAAAAAATTATACACATGACAAATTTACTTCCTACGGAAATTCCCCATTTTGTAATAACCAGAAGATTTGAATGGCTTAGAAATGCTGAAGCATGTTGTTGAATAGAGCTACTGAGTTAAACAAAAAACCACTTCACATTGACAGGATCAGTTCAGTGTAAAAATAGATTAGTCTATTGCGTAATAAAATTATATTATGCCAAAGTTAAATTGAAAGAGTGGACTGTTTGGTATTTAGTGTTGTGTGCCAGTTGTAGCTTCTCTTTAAGTCTATAGATCTCCATGTTTAGTGCTGTATTTGTGTGCAGGGAAATGAGGAACATTGCCAACGAGTTGAGTCAAGAGTTCATGAGGAACGTGGATGCCGTGACGAGGAACGTGGATGTTGGACCAAGGAACCTCACAGAGGAGGATGTCACTCGCTGTCTGGAGGATTATATGCTGAGAGGCAGGGGTTGGCGGCTGTTGTATGTTGTAGAGAGGGTTGGCGTCAAGGTGAGTCAATCATACTGAGAGGCAGGGGTTGGCGGCTGTTGTATGTTGTAGAGAGGGTTGGCGTCAAGGTGAGCCAATTATACTGAGAGGCAGGGGTTGGCGGCTGTTGTATGTTGTAGAGAGGGTTGGTGTCAAGGTGAGTCAGTCATACTGAGAGGCATGGGTTGGAGGCTGTTGTAGAGAGGGTTGGCATCAAGGTGAGTCAATAATACTGAGGCATGGGTTGGAGGCTGTTGTATGTTGTAGAGAGGGTTGGTGTCAAGGTGAGTCAGTCATACTGAGAGGCAGAGGTTGGCAGCTGTTGTATGTTGTAGAGAGGGGGAGGGGTTGGCGGCTGTTGTATGTTGTAGAAAGGGTTGGCATCAAGGTGAGTCAATCATACTGAGTGGCAGGGGTTGGAGGCTGTTGTATGTTGTAGAGAGGGTTGGCGTCAATGTGGGTCAGTCATACTGAGAGGCAGGGGTTGGAGGCTGTTGTATGTTGTAGAGAGGGTTGGTGTCCAGGTGAGTCAATCATACTGAGAGGCAGGGGTTGGAGGCTATTGTATGTTGTAGAGAGGGTTGGCGTCCAGGTGAGTCAATCATACTGAGAGGCAGGGGTTGGCGGCTGTTGTATGTTGTAGAGAGGGTTGGTGTCCAGGTGAGTCAATCATACTGAGAGGCAGGGGTTGGCGGCTGTTGTATGTTGTAGAGAGGGTTGGCGTCAAGGTGAGTCAGTCATACTGAGAGGCAGGGGTTGGCGGCTGTTGTATGTTGTAGAGAGGGTTGGTGTCAAGGTGAGTCAGTCATACTGAGAGGCAGGGGTTGGAGGCTGTTGTATGTTGTAGAGAGGGTTGGCGTCAAGGTGAGTCAGTCATACTGAGAGGCAGGGGTTGGCGGCTGTTGTATGTTGTAGAGAGGGTTGGTGTCAAGGTGAGTCAGTCATACTGAGAGGCAGGGGTTGGAGGCTGTTGTATGTTGTAGAGAGGGTTAGCATCAAGGTGAGTCAGTCATACTGAGAGGCAGGGGTTGGAGGCTGTTGTATGTTGTAGAGAGGGTTGGCGTCAAGGTGAGAATCAGAGAGGCATTGGTTGGAGGCTGTTGTATGTTGTAGAGAGGGTTGGTGTCAAGGTGAGTCAATCAGAGAGGCAGTGGTTGGCAGCTGTTGTTATGTTATGTTAACAAGTTAACCTAAGTCATAGATGCATAAGAGCTGCATAAAAACCTGTTAAACACTTTCAGTTAGATCACTGCATGCTGTATCTAGGCTGTAGTTACACTGACCAGAAGACTCGGATCAGCTGAAATGTTGCATGTGTAACAGATGTAATATTTGTGTGCTCCACTCCCCAGGGGGTGACCCAGCGCCATGACCTGTGTGAGGTACTCCTGAACCTGCTGCCCTACTGCTCACACATGAAGCCAGCCTACCCTGATGGGATGCACAGCAAAGACGGAGAAGATGCCACCTCTGAGAGGCTGTGTCAGACTTTAGATGGTGAGAATTGTTTGTAGAAATATGGAACCTATGTGTACCTGATATCAATGTAGAAAAGTAAAAATTTGACAAACCAAAATATTAAAAATGTGTCAATAACATGGATTTTAGATACAAATGTATGCTTATGATCGTTTACAGCCCAATTTAATTCTAGAATATCGTTGGTGTTTTTGTTTGGGGTTGGGGGTGGGGGGTGGGGGTTATTGGGAAGCAATATGTGATTGGGTTTCTGTTTCATTTTTTACAAATAATTTTAAGTTGAAACAAAGTCATTAAAATGATACCCAGTGTTTATTACTTAATACCTAATCATGTTTAATCACCCTACTTGTATCAGAGATGTAAAAACTTGTCTATAACCCTGTGCAGAAACCTACAACACAGCCCTGCCCCTAAGCTCCTGCTTCCAGCTGATCAAGTCCTCCAGGCTGAAACAGCTGGGCTGCCCCAGTCTACAGACCATGAAGCTCAGGAGGGTGGAGAGTTCAGCCTCACAGTTAAACAAGCTGAAGGTTAAAGGTCACAAGGAGGGGAAGGTCAGGAAAAGGATGACCAGGTCAACACCATCAAAAAGGTGAGGAATGTATAGCCCATGTCCTGTGTTAGATATGCTCCATACTCATCTCTATAAGACTGCCTTATGGATGGCCTCTGTAACCCTACTACAGGCATTTTCTCTTTGTGTAACAAATGCACTTTAGACATAACAAATACCTTAAAGGCAGTTTTTTTTTTCTGTTACAAACGCCATTTAACCAACTTTGTAACTTATGCCCTAATGCATATTTTCTTCATCTGTAACATTTTCTATTAAATACATCCTTCACATTTATATATGCCATGCACATCTTGTATGAATTCTGCATGACCTATACACATCTATACAAGATCTGACCTATTCTACTGTGAGATCTGTGAAAATTTGACTTTAAACAAAATTGACTATGACTTAGTAGGTTAATCTAGACCATGTCACATCAAAGCAGAGAGCTCAGACAAGCTGTTTAGGCTGCACACAGTACACAGCAGATATACAGTAACACAGCAACTACACAGCAGATATACAGTAACACAGCAACTACACACACTGCCCAACTAGAGTAGACCTTCATTTAAATAGCCATGAATGTATAATTTATGCTGGGATTAAGCTGGGGAGGATTAGGCTGGACTTTTAATGAATGTAGTAACTTCAGTTATGACTTGCATATTTTCATCTTAAATTTCTTTAAATTACCATGAAGTAAATTTCAATTTTAAGTAACTAATTAAAATGACATTTTTAAAATTTCAACACACATTTACATCACAAAAAAATCGATTGAGCATATCCAGTAACAAAATAAAGAAAACACTGTTGTATTTGTTTCTTAAAAAGTTTTCTAATCTTTGTCATGGTAAACATCATTTATTGCAGGACATTACCTATTTCAAAGTCTGAGTCAGACAATGAAGAGTCCACAAACACTGAAGCACACACACGCCCTGAAGAAAGGAAGTCACGACATCCAAAGTACAAAAGGGGCTTACGAAGCCACATTTGGTCACCTCTGTCAAAAGATGATGATTCAGAAACTGATGATGACTATGCTGCCCTATTGGGCCACATTGAAGAAAAACAAGTAGCAATTACTGGTTATCACCTGGTCCGAATTATTTTAAAACTTCTTCTCTCACTTGGTGAGTTGGATTTACATCAGAACGTCAGGGGCAGAGCACTCTCAGCTACAATTCTACCTCACATTTTGTACTTTGTGACATGTTTCCGGCAGCAAGTTTCTAAGCACGAGGAGATGTCTGGTATCATTAAAGCAGAAAAATGGCTTGACACTCATCATACAGCGCCAGATAACAGCGAGTCACCTAAACATGCTGCTGGTGCTGATCCTACTCACCTGGAAAGTTCTGGCTTTGGTGTGGGGAACGGTCCTGGCAGTTCTGAAGGGACACTTCCAGAAGAGGAGAGTGAGGTGGCCCCCTGGGGTGGGGCACACAGGGTGGCCCTGTTGAAGCAGTCTGTCAGAGCTGTGCTGACTCTCGCTGCCATAGTGGCCACACAACAAAATGGAGTCAGAATAATCATGAATCTCAACATCTTTGACACCTTGCTGGATCTGTAAGTTCTGGATTTTCTTCATCACATAACACATTATTTACACGTTTTCAATATTATTGTTATATCATTATTATTATAAATTTATGTTTTCATTTGTTTATTATTATTATTTTGTTTTTAATTTATCATTTATGTGATGCTATGTACTTGCCATTTTTATTGTCTTAAGATCTTTAATTAGATATTTAACTAAATATTTCAAGTTCAGATGTTTAATAGTACAAATTAAAAACATTTTTTATGCGTAAATTTGTATTAAATATATTAAAAATTAACTTTTTAAAAAACAATCAAACTTTTAAATACTATTTCAGCAACATCTTAGATTCTTTAATACCAGTGGGCTTGTCTTCACACACAAGTAGTGGATCAGCGACTCTACTAGCAGACAGTGAGGCCAGGGTAGCCATGGACATGGTCTGTGGTCTGATGCAGCTCATGCAAGTTGTCTACAGCAACCTTCCCTTCAACCCTTCAAGCATCATTGATGCTAACCACCTCACCTCTAAGTTCACAGAGTTTGAAGTTTCCCAAAGAATAAAACGTCTAATGCAGTATATTGAGTTCCATGCCCATGAAGTAGAGAAAACCCCACCTAGCAGTGAAATATTTGAGATGTCTTCATCCTTAGACAGCTCAGTTGTAGCCGGAGGTAAAATTGCTACACAAAATGAACTTTCAACTCAAACTTTTGAAGTTCCATTGGTTGTGGGGAACGGTTGTGCTTTGACTTTAGAAAAAAGTGTTTGTGGTTCTGAGGGAACTCCTGTGGATAGCCCTGAATATGAAACAAAAAATGTGAAAAATGTATTAAAATGTGAAAACAACAATGGTGTGGATAGTACAGAAAAATGTGAGCAACTCTCAGACCTGGGTGGATCCTCATCCAGTGATCCTACAGACAAACTTTCCCATTCATCTGATGTGAAAAACTTACAGACAGTTGATCCATCAGCTGATGTGGTGCGTTGTTTAGGCACACTGATCACAACAGTGAAGGGGATCAAAGTTAACTACATCCATTCTATGAAGTGTTTAAAGAGCCGACACAGGAAGTGTGAGTACGGCTCATACTATGACCACCATCATGACATCCTCGGCTCACCCTACTACTCCAGAGTCAGTGCTGCCCAGAGTGGCAGTGTCAACCCAGATGCTGACTACAGCGCCAGTGCTCGGGATAAAAAAAAGTTATTTGCCGATCAACAGGCGCCACTGTATTGTGTGGTCGCTGAACTTTCAACCTATCTGCTGGAGTACATCTCAGAAGCCAAGTTCAAGGCCAGTCATGTTCAGGTCATGTCGACACTGCGGTCTGTTGGGGTCTGCTGCTGCCTGCAGCCGGAGAGACTGATCTCATCTTTTGTTCCACAGCTCCAGCATTTCTCACCCGCCATCCGCAGCTACGCAATGGACACCCTGACATCCATGCTGCTGGATCAGTTCCACGGAGCTCTTGAGAGCCCGGATAGCCCCAAGCTTCAGGCCAGCACAAAAAGCTGGGGGAAGAGGAGAGCAAAGAGTGAGGAGCGTGCCGTGTTCCTGCAGGAGTCCACTAGGTGTGTCCACTGTTACCTGGAGGGCTCCAGCCCCCTCTTGTATGGGCTCCCCAGTGCTCTAGACTCTGGCTTTTCTAGTTGCGATCTAGAAGAAATGAGGAAGCAGAGACTGCTAGACAGGTGGAAGTCATTGAGGACTTTTAGGAAGTTGATCCTGTCGCTAGATGAGAACTTAGCTTTAACATGTGCTAAACATTTGATGACTTTAGCTATCAGGGGTAACAATGAGATCAAAGAGGAATTATTTTTTGGTGTTTATCTTCATGTACTTCATATGAAAGTCCAGCTGGCAGGGTACAAACCTGATGCTTTATCCTCTGATGATGTTCTGTCTGAAACATCAACCCATCTGAAAGATGAGTTGAATCATGGGCTCACTAACACCAGCCATTTTTGTAACTTAAGCTCAGGTTCCATGATCAATTCTCAGGAATCACTTCTGGATTCTGTTATAGGGGGAGTAACTCCGTCAGAACTATCTTCCACTGATGACATAACATTTGACGGGTCAGTGCCAAGCTCAGTCATGCTCCTGTCAGTCTCAGCCCTGCCCTATGTGCTGCAGGTGGACAAGGTCATGTCCATCTTCTTGGCCAAGGGTGGGCTGGCCAAGCTGACTAAGCTGCTGGAGTACGACCAGTTGCGAGCCCCAGTCATGAGTGTGTTTGAGGCCCTGGTCATGATAGACGAGCGTCGGCTGAGTGGCAACACGTCTGACAACAAGACAGTGTACGAGGGTGGGAGCATCATCCAGACCTTTATTGACACACTGGCCAAGCGCACATGCACGGTCACCGCCACGCTCCAGCAAATACAGCTGCGAAACTCCCAAGGGGAGAATTCTCCAGATTCCCCGCCTTTGTTAGGGGAAGATAACGACTTCCTAAAATTTTACAAGGAGAATTTGTCTTCATCCCCCAAGTCAGATGATCAGCCTAAGCAAGTAGATGGAGAGGATAAAGAGAAAAGAGAACTGCATGACTGTGTCACTGACACAAATGAATCATTGCCTGTCCTACTGGACATGTGGAAGACTTGCGCCAAGCTGTGCATGAACAGTCGCATGTTTAGAGCCTGCTACCGGGACTCACCTTGTCTCTATGTGGTACAGGTAAGTGTTTTATTATTTGGCTTTTTAAAATTAAGCTTGTTTAATTTTCTGGCAGGTTAACTGCTTTTTCACATTTTGTTGTATAGTTATATATAAAACAGCACTGATGGTCTGATTACAAATGGTAGATAAGTAATTCACCTAATGTATATATAGGCCTAAATAACTGCTTCCACCATATACCTCAGACAAACTCAGCTTGTTTCCCCCTTGTTCTCTTCTACTGCTCTTACAGCCAGTCCCATCATTTCTATTTATTTAGCTCACTAAAATCTTTTTTACTCAGTTAATACAAAATATTTTTTGTTCACTGTCAATACAATCATGTTTTTAAGGTTATTTGTTGAATGCAAGGTCTTTGAGTAACAATGTAATAATTATAAAAAGTTGACATGTTTTATTAATCGAATCTATCTCTTTTTCAGGAAACTTTAATTCTTGCTTTAAGTTTACTGGGGGAACTCAGTAGCTGCCATGGGAAGAAGTGTTTGGTGGAGAGACAAAACTCGTACTGCAGCGGTGGTCAGTGTGGCTACTCCACATGTCTGAATGGTGTGTGTGGTGAACCAGGGGGGTTCAGGCAAACTTGCAATCATGCTGGGAGGGAACCAGAAGGTCACACAGTGTTCAGCCACCAAGCCAAGCTGGAGTTCATTGAGGCAGTAATGATGGTCTGCTTCTCTTGTCATACCATATCCCCCAAACAAAAGGTCAGTTACTGCTGAAAGCTGTCTCAGATCCTAACCTGTATTTATTGGGTAGATGAAATAAAGTTCTTGTTTCCATTGGCTCTTGTTATCAAATGTTAAAATGGCCAGCTGGTCTTTATTTTTTCCCACTTGTATATTGGGCACTCTTAAAAATTGGATGAACTCATAACCTAAAGGTTTTCTGGTTAGTAGATGTGTGCTCTACTGCTGAAGCATCTAGCGTTCACCACAGGGCTGATGATTTAGACCTTGTCAGAACTTGTCTAAGCTGTTTCTCTGCAATAGATATTCTTATCCAAGAAAATTTGAAATAATGCTGTTTAAATTCGACATAATCAAACTTAAACTCTAAATATTAAAAACTATAGAAAAGTCTGTTATATTTGTAAAGAAGTCTCTAATTGTGAATGTCCAATGATATGACTAATTTGTAACTTTGTTTGAAGAGAGGTTCAGAAGATGACCTCTGGCTGAGGTTGAACTCTGCCCTACAAAGCTGCATCTTCCTGGAGCCCTGCAAGCTGTCAGCTGTCTTTCAAATGCTGCTCAATGTGGCACTGCCCCGTTGTCCATCCATCTTGGAGTACTCGTATTCACAGATAGTCTCTATGCTGGTTAGTTGTTTTCTTTAGTAGTCGTTTAATGTTTCCTAGTTATTTAGTCCTTATGAAGCCTTTTAAAATGTTGGTTGAAATTGTTACACTTGTAAGAAACATATTTTGCCTTGTTTTCAGTCTTGTATTCAGTCCATGTTTATGTATGTTTTAATTTACTACAGTGAGTACTAACTTGATATACTGTCACCAGTTAGATGGTCTCTAATATAAACTATGTAAGGGCCTATTGTGAGCTTGGCATAGCTGTCTGCTGTCATTTGTTAAGCAAATAGATAGTAGTTGCTATAGTTTAAAAAAAGGTCTGTCAGCACTTTCCCAGAATTTAATAAAAGTAGCTATAGTTTATAAAATAAAATGTTACAAGACTGTCTTTTAATAGTTTCCCAGAATATCACTGTAGTAGTTATAGGTTATAACAGATTGTAAAACATGACAAACTGTTATCAACACTTTCCCAGAATTTAAGAGAGAAAGAAGACATAGCAGATGAGGATGAAGTGAGACAACTGCTGCAGCAAGAGCTGGATGAAGATGGCGAAGTTCTCTTCACTGAGCATGGCTATGAGGCAGACACTGAGACCTCCATTTCTTATGACTGGAAGAAAGGTTTGATCAACTATATGAATTTTTTAATTCTTTTCTTTGGATGCTTTGTAGGCTAAAACAAATTTTTTAAAAGCCTCAATAAGAAAAAAAATGAAAATTTGTAATTTTGTGAAAGGGACATTAAAATCTAGCTATGTATTGTTGGGATAAAATAGTCCTAAAATTTTGTATTACTTTACTCTATGAGTAACAATGACCACCATGTGATGGATGTAACTGCTTTCCTCCAGGACTTGAGTTCAGCCTACAGAACAATGTGGGCACTAGCAGCTCCTCCTGCCCTTGTTTCCCTGCAGTCTTTAGGCTCTTTGTGGAGCTGATGGTGGCCTGTTACAAGGTGGCCTCACGCGGGGTCATCCTGCACACAGTGGCCCTGCGTCTGCTGCAGACCCTGAGGTCCAGCAGGAGGTCTGTTAGAGCGGTCAGCTCAGAACATCTCCTGGAGGTTTTGGTCGAGGGCTTCAGAGAGGTTTTGATCCAGTCACCAGCGGATGGCAAACGTAAAAATTATTTTCTTTACAATAGTTATAGTTTTATAAAACCTTTAGTGTGTCAGAACTTTTATTCAATATTTAAGTCACTGTACAAGAGAAAAAATGTCCTGGGAATTGTTTTTTTTAAATTATGTTCATATTACTTCCAAAGCAATATTTTATGCTTGAATTTTATTTTAACTTTTACCATAAAAATACAATTTAAAAAATGTTGACACAAAGATTTGGATTATCAGTGCTGTATGTTACATTTTTTTTAGTTGTTCAAATAATGTTTTTTTTATATGTAAACAGTGACATCCAATTTTTGTGTCCACAGAATCAACACTGCAAGAAATAATTTTGTCCTTGGTGCAGGTGATAGCACAGAGTGAGATGTCAGCAGCAGAACTCAGGCAGATGTTGAGGCTGTTTCAGGACAACACTGACACCACTGTGAGGGGCATACAGCAGTCTTAGGATTAAACATACGTCTTAAGTTAAAACTTTAGTCAGGGTTAAAACATCAGTCTTAGAATCAAACATAAGTCTTATGTTAAAACTTTAGTCAGGGTTAAAACAGCAGTCTTAGGGTTAAAACTTCAGTCTTAGAATCAAACATAAGTCTTATGTTAAAACTTTAGTCAGGGTTAAAACAGCAGTCTTAGGGTTAAAACGTCAGTCTTAGGGTTAAAACGTCAGTCTTAGGGTTAAAACGTCAGTCTTAGGGTTAAAACATCAGTCTTAGGGTTAAAGTATCAGTCTTAGGGTTAAAACATCAGTCTTAGGGTTAAAGTATCAGTCTTAGGGTTAAAATATCAGTCTTAGGGTTAAAACATCAGTGTTAGGGTTAAAACATCAATCTTAGGGTTAAAACATCAGTCTTAGGGTTAAAGTATCAGTCTTAGGGTTAAAATATCAGTCTTAGGGTTAAAACATCAGTGTTAGGGTTAAAACATGAGTCTTACTAGGTTAAAACATGAGTCTTATGGTTAAAATATCAGTCTTAGGGTTAAAACATCAGTCTTAGGGTTAAAACATCAGTGTTAGGGTTAAAACATCAGTCTTAGGGTTAAAACATCAGTCTTAGGGTTAAAACATCAGTCTTAGGGTTAAAACATCAGTGTTAGGGTTAAAACATCATTCTTAGGGTTAAAACATCAGTCTTAGGGTTAAAACATCAGTCTTAGGGTTAAAACATCAGTCTTAGGGTTAAAACATCAGTCTTAGGGTTAAAGTATCAGTCTTAGGGTTAAAGTATCAGTCTTAGGGTTAAAGTATCAGTGTTAGGGTTAAAATATCAGTCTTAGGGTTAAAGTATCAGTCTTAGGGTTAAAACATCAGTCTTAGGGTTAAAACATCAGTCTTAGGGTTAAAGTATCAGTCTTAGGGTTAAAACATCAGTCTTAGGGTTAAAACATCAGTCTTAGGGTTAAAACATCAGTCTTAGGGTTAAAGTATCAGTCTTAGGGTTAAAATATCAGTCTTAGGGTTAAAGTATCAGTGTTAGGGTTAAAATATCAGTCTTAGGGTTAAAGTATCAGTCTTAGGGTTAAAGTATCAGTCTTAGGGTTAAAGTATCAGTCTTAGGGTTAAAACATCAGTGTTAGGGTTAAAACATGAGTCTTAGGGTTAAAACATCAGTCTTAGGGTTAAAACATCAGTCTTAGGGTTAAAACATCAGTCTTAGGGTTAAAGTATCAGTCTTAGGGTTAAAATATCAGTCTTAGGGTTAAAGTATCAGTGTTAGGGTTAAAATATCAGTCTTAGGGTTAAAGTATCAGTCTTAGGGTTAAAACATCATTCTTAGGGTTAAAGTATCAGTCTTAGGGTTAAAATATCAGTCTTAGGGTTAAAGTATCAGTCTTAGGGTTAAAGTATCAGTCTTAGGGTTAAAGTATCAGTCTTAGGGTTAAAACATCATTCTTAGGGTTAAAGTATCAGTCTTAGGGTTAAAATATCAGTCTTAGGGTTAAAGTATCAGTCTTAGGGTTAAAATATCAGTCTTAGGGTTAAAACATCAGTCTTAGGGTTAAAACATCATTCTTAGGGTTAAAGTATCAGTCTTAGGGTTAAAACATCAGTCTTAGGGTTAAAACATCATTCTTAGGGTTAAAGTATCAGTCTTAGGGTTAAAACATCAGTCTTAGGGTTAAAACATCATTCTTTAAAACATCATTCTTAGGGTTACACATTAATCTTTAGGTCAATACATCAAATTTTTGGTTCATACATCAATCTTGGTGTTACATCCAACATTGGGTTAATACTGCAGTCTTAATACATCAATCTTTGGATTAAAAAATAAATATTTAGTTTAAAACATCAATCTTAGAGTTAATACAATCAAGAGTTAAATATTAATATTTAAGGTTACAGCCTTATTATATGAAAAACCTTTTGATTAATTTTAATTTTTCAGTTAAACATAAAATTAACGTTTAGTTTTGACATAGCTATCACTGTATAGTCTTCATCTGTGACCTCCCCAGAATTCTCTCCTCTCAACACTGCTGACTGTGATAGAAAAAACTCCTGTAGCTCCCAATTCTTCCATCACATTTCCTGTTAAACACCAGTCAGATGGGGACACAAGCCAGACCTCATCACCTGACCCAGGTAGGCATGTGCTGGATGTCACACTTGCTTTAAGCTATCTTTTCATTATCAGTTTACCTAACTCTTCATTTCATGACAAACTTGTTTGTTTTTAGATGGAATTAAATGCAACTTTGTCATTGTAAAAATGTTTTACTTAATGTCTAAGTTTTAAATTTTATTTTTCAGAGTCAGCTGAAGTTGAGCCAGTCTGGCAACATGCAGCTGTTGAGCTTGAAGTGCAAGGTCTTGCCTGGCCACCCCTGCCCACAGGGTTTAGCTTGGCTTTCTGGATGTCTGTGGATCTGCCTGTACATGGCAGCAAGGCTGAATTTAATAGTTCAAGCAAAATTAAACGTAAATTTCATTTTCAAAAAGTCATTTAACATTGTGGCTGTAGTCTGAATATTGTTAGGGACACATCAAATCTTCACATATTTTTTTTTTCCAGACAAAGATTTTTCTGACAACAAGGCACAGCAGTTTGTGCCTCGACGCTTGCAGATACAGGACTGTCTGCTGGTGGTTGCCGTGGGCAACAAAGAAAAAATGTTTGAAGTTTGGGTTCATCCAGCAACAGCTTCTTTGGTCTGCAGGTGAGAGCCATGTGAGGGCCATGTTAGTCAAACCTGAGACCATGTGAGGGCCATGTTAGTCAAACCTGAGACCATGTGAGGGCCATGTTAGTCAAACCTGAGGCCATGTGAGGGCCATGTTAGTCAAACCTGAGGCCATGTGAGGGCCATGTTAGTCAAACCTGAGGCCATGTGAGGGCCATATTAGTCAAACCTGAGACCATGTGAGGGCCATGTTAGTCAAACCTGAGGCCATGTGAGGGCCATGTTAGTCAAACCTGAGGCCATGTGAGGGCCATGTTAGTCAAACCTGAGGCCATGTGAGAGCCATGTTAGTCAAAGCTGAGGCCATGTGGGGGCCATGTTAGTCAAACCTGAGGCCAGGTGAGGGCCATGTTAGTCAAAGCTGAGGTCAGGTGAGAGCCATGTTAGTCAAAGCTGAGGTCAGGTGAGGGCCATGTTAGTCAAAGCTGAGGCCATGTGGGGGCCATGTTAGTCAAACCTGAGGCCAGGTGAGGGCCATGTTAGTCAAAGCTGAGGTCAGGTGAGGGCCATGTTAGTCAAAGCTGAGGTCAGGTGAGGGCCATGTTAGTCAAAGCTGAGGTCATGTGAGGGCCATGTTAGTCAAAGCTGAGGTCAGGTGAGGGCCATGTTAGTCAAACCTGAGGCCAGGTGAGGGCCATGTTAGTCAAAGCTGAGGTCATGTGAGGGCCATGTTAGTCAAAGCTGAGGTCAGGTGAGGGCCATGTTAGTCAAACCTGAGGTCATGTGAGGGCCATGTTAGTCAAACCTGAGGCCATGTTAGGGCCATGTTAGTCAAACCTGAGGCCATGTGAGGGCCATGTTAGTCAAAGCTGAGGTCAGGTGAGGGCCATGTTAGTCAAACCTGAGGCCATGTTAGGGCCATGTTAGTCAAACCTGAGGCCATGTGAGGGCCATGTTAGTCAAACCTGAGACCAGTTGAGGGCCATGTTAGTCAAACCTGAGACCATGTGAGGGCCATGTTAGTCAAACCTGAGGTCATGTGAGGGCCATGTTAGTCAAACCTGAGGCCATGTGAGGGCCATGTTTGTCAAACCTGAGGCCATGTGAGGGCCATGTTAGTCAAACCTGAGACCATGTGAGGGCCATGTTAGTCAAACCTGAGGTCATGTGAGGGCCATGTTAGTCAAACCTGAGGCCATGTGAGGGCCATGTTAGTCAAACCTGAGGCCATGTGAGGGCCATGTTAGTCAAACCTGAGGCCATGTGAGGGCCATGTTAGTCATACCTAGGTCAAGGGTTAAAGCTGTTTCTAGAGTTATAGTTTCAATAGTTTATAATAACTTTGATCTACATAGAGAGTTATTTGCAAGTACCATTTATAAATTTAAGCCGAGATAACTGTATAGTATGCTTCTGTAAAATTGATAGGTTACAATAATTATTTAAAATACCATGTAGAATTATTCATAATATGAACACTCAAGTCTTTCAAGTTAGTTGTTGTGCCCTCTACTGCTCGACCATACTGTTCCATATCATAGACATTACAGACTTAAAATAATAACAAAATGTATTCTATATTCTATTTGTGTCACACACCAACTAAAACTTCTTCAATAATCAAAACAAACATTTTTGTATTTTAATAGGTTAACAGCTTTTGGAAGTGAAGTTTCAGTCCTAAAAGAGATAACCCTTGACCAGCTGCTGACCCCTGGAACATGGCAGTTAGTTGTTCTGTCATACAAAGACGTGTTAGATGGCAGTACCTTTGTTGGCAAGGTATGGCTTTACACTAAACTATACCTTTTGAAACTTTACTAAGCAGAGACACTTTTTTATACATTGTTTCATTTGTTTTTTTTGTGCTAATAAAACAAATCTAGAAGCAGTACATTTTTTAAAAAAATTGAAAATTGAAATTTGAATTTGTAATGCATACCACAATTAATGTTTGACAGCTGGACGTGCTAGTTGATGGGTGGCTGAAGAAGGAAATTATCTTAGATCACCCAGCATCACTGAGTAAACAGCCCAAACAACAGAAGGTTTTGTGCATAGGGGACACACGGCAGGGTGCAGGGAAATCACTCAATGGGACCTGGAAACTAGGCACACTTCGTTTGTTTAGAGGTTGGTGTGATATTTATTTTAAGCACTCCATCTGTTTACAGGTAGATGTGCTATTTGTTTTAAGCACATTTCAATTGTTTAGGCGTAAATATTTTATCTAAGATGTGCTATTTGTTTTAAGCACATTTCAGTTGTTTAGGCGTAAATATTTTATCTAAGATGTGCTATTTGTTTTAAGCACATTTCAATTGTTTAGGCATAAATATTTTATCTAAGATGTGCTATTTGTTTTAAGCACATTTCAGTTGTTTAGAGGTAGATATGTTATCAATTTTAAGCACATGTCCACTGTTGTGGTATAGCCAAGTAATTAGAACTATCTAAACTTGTACTTTGTGTATGTCTGTGTGAAAAAAAAAGAATATCCGTCATAATTTTAATATAGTTGAAACAGAAGAAAAGTTTGAATAGGTTTTGTATGAAATGCATGCATGCATGTTTTTATGACATTTATTATGAGAACAATGCATAATGTCTCTTGTATAGTGTGAGTTTTATTGAAAATGTATTTTATTAGTTTTACTATACTTGTTGCTGATTGGATGATTACTTTTAGACACTGTACTGAGTGGTGACTGGTGGTTTCATCTCTACTGTTTGGGGCCCAACTGTGAGGGTATAGCCAAGTGTGACTGTGGGAGCCTGCAGGCCTGCTACACACCTGCCATGTTGAAGCACATGGTGGATGTCACACACCTGACCTGGGACGTCTTAGTGGGTCTGGCTCAGCTGCCTGACATAGACACAGCCAGGGTTAGTGACAGGCTTTATTTTTTACTTATGTGGGTCTCAGGAAACGTTTGTTGTTTATGTATGTTTTTTTCTCCATATTTTAATCTTAGTGAGAGTTGTTTGTCAGATGTTAATTAGGACAGTCTCCTTGGTGTATTTTCTTTTGACAGACTTGCCTGATTTTAACCAGCAGCTTTTGTTTTGACAGACTTGCCAGATTTTAACCAGCAGCTTTTGTTTTGACAGACTTGCCAGATTTTAACCAGCAGCTTTTGTTTTGACAGACTTGCCAGATTTTAACCAGCAGCTTTTGTTTTGACAGACTTGCCAGATTTTAACCAGCAGCTTTTGTTTTGACAGACTTGCCAGATTTTAACGAGCAGCTTTTGTTTTGACAGACTTGCCAGATTTTGATGTACAGAGTGAACAGACCAGATGTGTACTCTATTTATTTGTTGCCACAAGCACCAGCAGCTCTACTGTCAGATGACCTTGGCCTTGTGCCTTCAGCAGGGTCACAGTCACACCTGCTGATACAGAAGCCTGTTATTCTGCCTGCAAAAGTGGTGGGCAAGGTGAAGGTCAGAGAAACCAATACATTGGAGAAGGCAGTGGAGCAAGCTGGAGGAGTGGAAGCTTTTCTTTTTCTGGTGGCAAAGGTATGTAATTAAATGGTGGCATAGGTATGTAATTAAATGATGGCATAGGTGTTTAATTAAATGGTGGCAAAGGTGTTTAATTAAATGGTGGCAAAGGTACATAATTAAATGGTGGCAAGGGTATTTATTTAAATGGTGGCAAAGTATTTAATTAAATGGTGGCAAAAGTATTTAATTAAATGGTGACAAAGGTGTTTAATTAAATGGTGGCAAAGGTATGTAATTAATAGTGGCAAAGGTATGTAATTAATGGTGGCAAAGGTACATAATTAAATGGTGGCAAAGGTATTTAATTAAATGGTGGCAAAGGTATTTAATTAAATGGTGACAAAGGTGTTTAATTAAATGATGACAAAGGTACTTTAGGGGGCTTTGAAGTTAGAAAAGAATCAAGTCATTATCTCTTTGCTCCTGAATTGGATTTTATTTGGAGAGTTGTGTGACCGTAATAAAAAAATGTAAAAATCATTCTTCTAGTCATTCTGAAAATGCATGTTTCACCCCCTACATCCACGTCTTAGGATTATTAAATTAGAAGTATTAATTGTAAAACAAATTAGAAAGCCATTAGACAACAGAGTTATTCCCCAGCTAAACATGTTTTCACTCTAAATGTGTTAATGGCCTATTCACCTCCTAAATTTGATTCTGCAGATTTTTGAAGACAGCATGAAAGTTGTTGACAAGGGAGGCAACCTTGAGACGGCTGAGCTCCTACAGAGTAAAGTGGTTCACCTCCTGTTCCAGCTGATCCACCACTTCCCCACCCATGCCAAGTCCTTTAATGATGCCAGTGGCTATGCCATGCTGGCCAAGGTCCTGACCAGCTCTAAAAGTATTGTGGGATACCATTTGCTCAAGGTACAATTAACTTCAGTTGTAATGGATAAAATTAATAGTGAAAGTCCCATCATAAAAACTTGGCTTTAGGCACAACTAATTAGGTCATTTAAAAAAAAAAATTAAGCAGCATGTAAATTTTGAAAGTACACCTCATAACAAATGTTGTTGAGTGTGCTGATCAAGGTGAAAGCAAATTATAAACATATCCACAGCATTATACTTACTATATTCAGGATCTCATAAAGAAACATGACCCCAGTAACATAAAATCACAATCCCTACCTTAGCCATACTAATACCTCTGTACCAATGTTTCCCTCCACTCTCCAGGTCCTGATAGATGCCTGCAGCACAGAAACCATGTTCAAAACCAACCCCAACTCACCTGTCCCCGTCCTGCGCTGTCGCCATGAGGCTGTCATCAGAGACGTGGAGGTGCTGACCCAGCTCCTCCTCAACTGGAGGATCTGGCATCGAGGCAGTGACAGCGTGACAGTCTTGTTGTTCAGGGCCATGGAGTCACTCGTCAGCCCCAGCCACCCTCACCACAAGTTCAACCAGAAGCAGATGTTGGCTGGCGGGGTCATCAATAAAATCTTCAACATTTATCTGGTAAACTTTTTTCTAACGTTTGGATGTTAATAGACAAGCCATTGTCATTGTAAATAAAAATCGAGACAGCAATTTGCAAGCAGCTCATCACACACTGATACCTGTCAATTAGCCTTACCTAAATAATTATATACTAAAGTTAACACTACCTGAGTCCTATACCTCAGTATTAGTGTTAAAATATTGTTAGCAATTTTATCAGCAGTGGGAATGTTTGGATATGGCTAATGGACTTCAGCAAGTTTACCATTCGTTAAAGCTCCAACACTTTAATAGAATTCAACATAAGTAGGATCTGCTAAACTCAATGTTAATTTCAGGAAAGAATTCAAGATGGACAGCCATCTCTCTCAGTGGATGTGAGCCTGTCAGCATCAAATGTGGTCAAAAGCTTGCTGGGGTCACCCCCTGACCTTCACCTTCTGATGGCAGTCATGGATTTCCTGTTGCTAGTCCATCCTGCTCCCAGTGGCTTCATCAACTTCAGTGCTAGTTCATTTTACTTCAAAATGTGGTGGGGTACGCAAGCTTTAGGATTTAGCTTATGTAAACTCTTGTTGAGTAAGCAAGCATTTGTAGCTATTGTAAACTGTTGTGGGGTAAGCAATCCTTAGGGTTTTGCTATTATAAACAAAGCCTAGCAAGAATTAGGGTTTAGCTATTGACACCTGTTTAGAAGCAAGCAAGCCTGTATGAAGAGGAGAGCAATTTTCAGGCGACTCTTATAGAGGCAGGGTTCTGGCATAGTTTTTACTCACTCTTTGGTTTTTGTGAGATTTCAAGAAACTAATGTTATCCAATTGGCTGATTAAAGTTGTGTTCTATGGTTAAGGATGTTCTTATCCCAGAGTTTGACAGCAAGGTTTTGATTCATTTACACTATTTGTTTTATTTGTGTATTGTGAAGATGGTGACAGGCCCAGAGCTTCATCAGACCAGCAAAAAATCAAATCTAAATCCAAGCGAACCATCAGTGAAAAGTCTGAAGCTCAGGTGGAAGAACCCAAAGACACTATTCTAGGTGAGTAGTGGGGTATCATTTCTGCTCAAGTTATGAGTTTCTAATTGATTTAAATGATGTTTGTACATTGTAAGAAATATATTCTGGTATATGAACTTCCTGCAAACCAATGCTTTTGTTTTCGTAATTGATTAATGTTTTTTATAATTTTTTATGTCTTTAGAATCCCGTCTAAAATCAGCCTACAACACTGCTGCTCAGATCCCGCCCTCCTCCCTGAGGTCGCCCATGACTGACAGCCCCATTGATTCCGAAGGAGATAACGAAGGCAATGAGTTCACATTCCCTCCCCTTAAGGCAACGAATGTGAGAACAGAGCAGAGTGCAGACATGGACGCTGACTATGAGGAAAGTGATAACGGGTGGCGCAGGAAAAACTTGATCAGGTCAGTGGAGGCTGGACAGCATCAGGACACCACTGACATCAGCAGCAGTGAACAGGAGGTGAGACAGGACAGCTCTCACAGGCCCACGGCTGGGGGGCTGGTGGACCAGGACAGTTGTCACACGTCCCCCCCTGGTGGGCTCATGGACCAAGGCGCTGACCAGGGAAAGAGAAGCTCACCCAGGAGAAGGCTGGTCTACACCAACAATGATGGGCAGCTGGTTCAAGACAAGGTGGATGGGGTAGACAGTGGGTCTCAAACTAATAAGGCTGGCCGACAAGGTGATGGTCAGTCTGAACAAGGAGGTAGAGGTGTTGCACAGAGTGAGGCAGAGTATGCCCTGGATGAAGAGGAGGAGGATAGTGACCAGGGCTTGATGGCTCTGTGTGTGGGTGAGTCCACTTTTCATTTAACATTTGTTTCTCTTGGTGAGTCCACTTTTCATGTAACACTTGTTTCTCTTGGTAGTCCACTTTTCATGTAGAATTTGTTCCTTTTTGGTAAGTCCATTTTTCATGTAACATTTGTTTCTCTTGGTGGGTCCACTTTTCATGTAACATGTGTTTCTCTTGGTAAGTCTACTTTTCATGTAACATTTGTTTCTCTTGGTAAGTCTACTTTTCATGTAACATTTGTTTATCTTGGTAAGTCTACTTTTCATGTAACATTTGTTTCTCTTGGTGGGTCCACTTTTCATGTAACATGTGTTTCTCTTGGTAAGTCTACTTTTCATGTAACATTTGTTTCTCTTGGTAAGTCTACTTTTCATGTAACATTTGTTTATCTTGGTAAGTCTACTTTTCATGTAACATTTGTTTCTCTTGGTGGGTCCACTTTTCATGTAACATGTGTTTCTCTTGGTAAGTCTACTTTTCATGTAACATTTGTTTCTCTTGGTAAGTCTACTTTTCATGTAACATGTGTTTCTCTTGGTAAGTCTACTTTTCATGTAACATTTGTTTCTCTTGGTAAGTCTACTTTTTATGTAACATTTGTTTCTCTTGGTAAGTCCACTTTTCATGTAACATTTGTTTCTCTTGGTAAGTCTACTTTTCATGTAACATTTGTTTCTCTTGGTAAGTCTACTTTTCATGTAACATGTGTTTCTCTTGGTAAGTCTACTTTTCATGTAACATTTGTTTCTCTTGGTAAGTCTACTTTTCATGTAACATTTGTTTCTCTTGGTAAGTCTACTTTTCATGTAACATTTGTTTCTCTTGGTAAGTCTACTTTTCATGTAACATTTCTTTCTCTTGGTAAGTCTACTTTTCATGTAACATTTGTTTCTCTTGGTAAGTCTACTTTTCATGTAACATTTGTTTCTCTTGGTAAGTCTACTTTTCATGTAACATTTGTTTCTCTTGGTAAGTCTACTTTTCATGTAACATTTGTTTCTCTTGTTGGGTCCACTTTTCATGTAACATGTGTTTCTCTTGGTAAGTCTACTTTTCATGTAACATTTGTTTCTCTTGGTAAGTCTACTTTTCATGTAACATTTGTTTCTCTTGGTAAGTCTACTTTTCATGTAACATTTGTTTCTCTTGGTAAGTCTACTTTTCATGTAACATTTGTTTCTCTTGGTAAGTCTACTTTTCATGTAACATTTGTTTCTCTTGGTGGGTCCACTTTTCATGTAACATGTGTTTCTCTTGGTAAGTCTACTTTTCATGTAACATTTGTTTCTCTTGGTAAGTCTACTTTTCATGTAACATTTGTTTATCTTGGTAAGTCTACTTTTCATGTAACATTTGTTTATCTTGGTAAGTCTACTTTTCATGTAACATTTCTTTCTCTTGGTAAGTCTACTTTTCATGTAACATTTGTTTCTCTTGGTAAGTCTACTTTTCATGTAACATTTGTTTCTCTTGGTAAGTCTACTTTTCATGTAACATTTGTTTCTCTTGGTAAGTCTACTTTTCATGTAACATTTGTTTCTCTTGGTGGGTTCACTTTTCATGTAACATGTGTTTCTCTTGGTAAGTCTACTTTTCATGTAACATTTGTTTCTCTTGGTAAGTCTACTTTTCATGTAACATTTGTTTATCTTGGTAAGTCTACTTTTCATGTAACATTTGTTTATCTTGGTAAGTCTACTTTTCATGTAACATTTGTTTATCTTGGTAAGTCTACTTTTCATGTAACATTTGTTTCTCTTGGTAAGTCTACTTTTCATGTAACATTTGTTTCTCTTGGTAAGTCTACTTTTCATGTAACATTTGTTTCTCTTGGTAAGTCTACTTTTCATGTAACATTTGTTTCTCTTGGTAAGTCTACTTTTCATGTAACATTTGTTTCTCTTGGTAAGTCCACTTTTCATGTAACATTTGTTTCTCTTGGTAAGTCCACTTTTCATGTAACATTTGTTCCTCTTGGTGAGTCCACTTTTCATGTAACATTTGTTTCTCTTGGTGAGTCCACTTTTCATGTAACATTTGTTCCTCTTGGTGAGTCCACTTTTCATGTAACATTTGTATCTCTTGGTGAGTCCACTTTTCATGTAACATTTGTTTCTCTTGGTGAGTCCACTTTTCATGTAACATTTGTTTCTCTTGGTGAGTCCACTTTTCATGTAACATTTGTTCCTCTAATACTCACTGTGGCTTCAGTGCTTCTAAAGCTTCTTGTGCCTTTTTGGTTCTTGTTTTGTAATGTCAGTTTTTTCTTTTCTCCAGGCCTGGTTGAGTACCTGACCCAGTTAATCCTGGAATTCCCAGAGACCTCACTGAATGACATGTTCAGTAAAGTGGTCAGCCCCAAGAGTATGCTGGTGCTAGCCAAGAATCCGTCCAGTGCTATGAGATTGGCAGTCATGAAGGTTTGTAATACTTATTGCCACTAGCCAACAACCAAATAATATCTAGAAGTAATTGAAACAATAAATATTTCACCAGAGGCAAACAATAAATTACTGGAATGAGAAAGAATGAAAGAAAAATGGCATCTGTATTGTTCTGGAATGTTTTCCAACTTACCAGAAAACTGCATGCTCTGTGGCGCTTTGCTTAAGTCTTATCTGAATTTCTAGTTCTTTGCTCCCATATACTTTTAGTTGACTCTGTAGTACTTTTGGTACATTAATTGCTTACCTGCATATTTAGAGTTGGGTTTCCAGAGTGCATGATTGTTAACTCCAAAAGTCCCATTAGGAGAAACTCCAGAATGTAATAACTGCTGCCTTGCAGATTATACTTGGCTAGACAAAGGTTGTTTAGGGCACATAACATGTTAACACATAATACTTAACTATGTTGGAGGAAATCCCCTTCATACAATTAAAAATGAAGGAGACCACTCTGACCCTTCAAGTGCTTTCATCTAAAAGGGGTACTCACAGTATTTGATTTTTTTATTTCATCATCTTAGGGGATCACACTATATTACACCTCCACACTATTTGGCTTATAACACTTACTAAATCCTGGCAGTAATAAGACAGTTTCCCTCCTGTTTCAGTTGTTGGCGTCCTATCTGGCCAGAGCACCACCAAATCTGATTGAGGCTTTCATTAAGATGGATGGATTCTACCTGCTAGCCAATCAGCTGAGGTCATTTCCTGTCTCCCCCAGCCATGTTGAGACTGCTATGTCCATACTGTTGAGACAAGAATTTATTTTTGATGACAAGTAAGATTCATCGACTTCATTTGAATTATCTTTGATTTTGTTTTTAACTTGATATATTCTATGTGGTTATTTATTATATAATAATTTAATTATTACTTTAAAAACAAAAATACCAAATAAATGTAAGACTTTAAAATATCTGATAATATATCTGATAATTAAATAAAAAATGTAATCTGTGTTTGTAGCTACATGGTGGGAGACTTGGGTGACCTGTCTCCCATCCAACAGGTCGCTCCTGTACTGTTGTTGTCCCTCATGGAAGGTACAGCCACTGATTTTCAGTTGTGCAGAAACTCCCTCGCTTTACTGTCTCAGGTATGCATATTTTATTTTGTTACTGCTAACTCATACTAGTTTTTAGAATGCTCAAGGAATTTTTCCACATTCTAATAATAATTAGGATAGCTTGGCCTATCGGTAGAGTGCTAGACTGTTAACAAGAAAGACTTTGTTTGGATTCAAGTCTGTAAGATGTCTCTGTCCAAACTGCTCTGGTGGGTACCTGATGAAACATAGGCGGCTTGGCTTAGTGCTTGCAACATTATTCCCTTGTATGTATGCCAAGGTCCATTAATACATATGAACTCTACTTCATCTGCCCCATATGTCTTGGGCAGGAACGAGAAAAGATGAATATGAATAATAATTAGTAATATTTACAAACAATATGTGGTATTTTAAATAAACATTTCTAGGGTTAATTAATGCTGATTAAGTATTGTGTTTGATTGGTGTTGCATAGTGCTGCAAAAATATTTTCAGCTTCTGGAATCTACCCCAACAATGAGCTCTCTACTGCTAGAGTTAGGTTTAGCTGAAACAATGTGCAATCTGGCCACCAGTATTCAGAAGCATCAAACAAGGTAACTATAAAACTGTTATATTATTTTCTTTGTAAATAAAATCACATTTTTTGATGCTTTTAATTATCTGTGAACATTTGTTAAACTCTAATGAGGACCTGATGTTTGTCTTGTCAACAGTGAGGCTAAGAGTGAAGGTGAGGAGCTGACCAAAACATTGTTGATAGATGTCCAGCATGTCCTGTGTTCTACTGCTGTCTCAGAGTTCAGGTGGCTACAATTGTTCAAGCCCTTTTTTCAACTAAACTTAACCATAGTGTATTTATTTTGATTGAAGTGTCTTTAAATAATTCTTCATTGCTATAACTTAAAAACAAATATTTCTGCTAATTTGCTTTTTTTCACTAAATTAAAAAAAACACATTTATTGCAATTCTGTTTTAAAATATCAAATGTTTTAGATTGAGCAGTGCTAAAAAATATTTTAGAAAGTATTAACAATCTTCAGTTGCATTTTAGTACTAGCTTGAATTGTTTATAAAATGTTTTGAGTGTTCTGGGCAACAAAACTTATCTTCCACTCTGCAGCTGGGCTGGACAACCCCATTACCAGAATGTTGAAGATATGTTCACACTGTTGAAAGCATTGGAAGACAATGAATTCAGTCGCCAGTCAGGTAATGTAAAACATCTTCAACATGCTGTTTTGACACGGACAGAATTTACTAAGTTAATGTTAGTCCTTAAAATTTTGAAATGCTGACACTTTGAAATAAAATTATATTTTTGTAGAAAATTAATTAGCCTTGATCTTTGTATTTCCATTATGTAGAGTCGAGTAAAAAGAGAGCAGGCACAGCTAGAGCTTTTCAAATATCCCTTGTGGTGAAGATTCTGGAGTATGTTGAAAAACGAAGTGATGAGCTCACTTCTGCTTCTCAGGGCTGGCTGACATCTTCTTTTGCTAACAATGGTAAATGTTTACCCCTCATTGCTTGATATTTATTTGGTTAGTATACAAAGGCAATGTATAATTTTTGCTTTGATGTGTTTCTTCAAAAACTAACATCTATTGATGGTTAATCATTTATTACTTAAGGACAGTAGGCATGACATACAAGCTACTAATTAAAATTAGCTACCGCAGTATACAACAGTCTTAGTTTGAAGAGTCATTTCCTTGTTTATACTTTATACAGCTTCTATTCATTAAAAACTGCTTTGTTAGAAAATTGCTCACCAAGTTTCTCCCATTTAAAAACATGATTTTTTTTTTAAATGTGGAAGTTAATGTTTTATAACCAAAGCTAATATTTTATCAGAAGTTAATTTTAAGTATTAATTTCAATAATTATTCTATAGAGAAAAGTTTAAAGAAAATAAAAACTTATTTTTAAGTCACAAATTTGAAAATCTTATAAGAATGCTGCAAAAAAAAAATAAATACACAAGTGTGACATCAGACTTTCTGAACCACCCACACCACCCTTTCACCCTCATTACCCATTGCATCTTAAGTCCAACCACCCATTCCACCACCAATTATGCCATTATTTATGGACTACTTATAATCTTAATTTATGGATGATCATATTACCTGATCAATCTCACTTAACCTGACATATTAAGTGAAATAAGTTGTCTCTTATTATACCCTTATAGAAATGATTTCTTCCCTCTCTACAATTTTATTTTTTTATTTTTATATTTGTCCTTACAATGCTTTAAGAAATCTATATTATTATGTATTATCTATAGTATTATGTATACTTAGCTTGTTGTCATTTTTTTCTTCTTTGCTGACAACTAATTAAGTAAAGTTTATGTGAGAACAGAATCGGATCACATTTGATTTAGATTTTCTTTGTGTTAGGTGTTGAAGCAAGATATGAGTATTATTCTTTAACTATTAAATGTCAAAAATGTTTTCTTTTCTTGGTATACTTATTTAAAAAAAAAAATTTTGACAAAAAAAAGTAATAAAAAAGATTAGTTAATGATAATAAATGAATGTTTTAAAATAAAAAGAGAATATTTACTTTTTTTTATCTAAAAAAATTGAAGTTTTCTACTTTTCCCATATTTTATGCTCCTACTTTTTATAAAATCCATTGTACTAGTTTGCTCATTCCCTTTTTGTTTGTTTTATTTCCTCCTATTCCAGCTTCTAACCCCTCCACCAAACCTGCTCGCCCAGTGTCCAGAACGTATTCAATCCCCAAGTCTTCCCCCCATGGCTCAGTCACCTTCTCCCCCCTGCAGCAGTACATGAGCCCAGACGCCCCCAAATCCTCCTCCCCTGATGTCCACTCAATGAGGCGCTCCACATATTCCAACCCTGACATGATGGGTTTTCTCTCAGAGACCTTAAGTGATGAAAGACAAAATAGCCTGCTGGATAGTGACGCCTCAGGCTCGTCTCGTGTCATGACCCCACCTCGCACGTCAGGTGGAACTAAGCCCTCTCGTATAGTCTCCATCTTTGGACGCAGGCACAAGATGATGTATGCCACTGTCAGCCAGTCTGACCTGCAGGAGAGATTTAAGAAAATTTTGACCAGTGCTACCGACCTGACTATTATGTATCGTAAGTGCTTGCTTTGAAAATCTCTACAATTTGGATGTATGAACATACAATTGCTATTACTTTGTAGTTTAATTTTTTAACACAAATTATTTTGAATAAAGTAACTAAAATTTGTGTAAACTATTGTCATTATCCTAGCAGTCACTTTAAATCTAGTACATTTGTTTCTAATTTTGCTCTGTTAAAATGTAAACATGCACCAAATGTTGACAGCTCGAGAAGAACAGATGCGACCAACAGAACAAAGGACACTGAATATTTTTACAGAGACCAAAACACCTACACTAGAGGATCGCTATCTCAAACACCTGTTCCTGACCATCTACAGGTTCTATGAGCATACCATGGTAAGTCTTGTGTAGGCTTAAATTTTGCTTCTAGAAGCTAGAATGGCAAGTCTGTAGCTTCAGTTGTTGGTTCTAGAAGCTAGAATGGCAAGTCTGTAGCTTCAGTTGTTGGTTCTAGAAGCTAGAATGGCAAGTCTGTAGCTTCAGTTGTTGGTTCTAGAAGCTAGAATGGCAAGTTTGTAGCTTCAGTTGTTGGTTTTAGAAGCTAGAATGGCAAGTATGTAGCTTCAGTTGTGCTGATTACCTTTCTTTTATAGTTGTTAAACAACAAAAGGAGGTATAATTATAATTTATTTAATTTTTGTAAAATATACAAAAATCATTGTAAATTATATGGGAGTGAATTTTAATTAAATGAAAAATAGTTTTCCCACTTGAATTTCCATTTTATCCTTTGTGAATTGTAAATGTCAGCCAATTTGTTGTGTTGTATTTTATTTAGAACAAAGATGCTTACAACAAAAGAAACAGAAATCCAGTCATGCATGGAGCCAAGGATGCCATCAAGACTCAGGTATTCATCCCTGTTTAGTGGGAGGCATTAAAGTTGTATAACGAGCTAAGAATAGCAACATTTGCAAATCTTTTTGTGTGTGTTAGTGTACTAAATTCTATGCTGTGTGTTGCTGGTGGTCATCATGTAGTACCAACACCTTGTAACTATTCCACCAGCTGACCAGACTCTTGTTATGTATGATGTCAGTCAAGGTAGACTTTGACATGAGGGCCTACACTGTTGCATTCATTATGACAGAGCCAAGGGGAACAGATACTCTCAAAACCCTCATCACTGACAAATATGTGGTAATATTCACATGCATTACATTGTTATAGCTTTTTTGTAATGTTTCACTTTTTTAACCATAATGTTAGAGAAAAGATATGAATCATATTTCTTGCCTGAAATATTTTGTTGTCAATGTAGGCTTGATTTATTTTTCTGATAGTTTTTCTAATTATTTATAGAATTGTTAAAATTCTGTTCCATAAATAAGAAGAAAAATTCATTATTCTTATAAAGATGTTCTTTGTATATTTACCTGCACAAAATTAACTGTCTGCAGGGCATTGAACTCAGTTTTTACCTCTACAACCTGCTGGCTTCCTGGAAAGACTGGTTGAACCCTGCCCAGAGGGAGTTTGGCTTCTCTCTGATGCTGATACTCAGGCAGTCTGGCTACAATGTCAACTCCCCAGACCAGATGCTGACCCAAGCCCAGGTCAATGTTTTGTCTGAGGTAAGTCATGTCTGCTGTACACACTTCTAAACCTTTTCTGAGTATTTTCAACTTTGTATTTTAAAAAACTATTAACAGCACCTATTTTTTGAGAATTTTATTTGATTGTAGGATTGTGTTCTGATGATTGATGTACTGGGTCTGTAATTTGGTTCTTATGATTGTAGGACAAAAAACTAATTGATGCCAGATACAGAAAAGATCTGCTGGTTTGGCTCCAAAAGAGGGAACTAGGCACATCCAGGTGTGTAAATGTTGAGAATTATGTAGGGCATTGTGGGGATCTTTCCAACATGGCAATGATTTTCTTGAAACATTGACATTTATAAACAGCGTTTTATCTTCAAACAAGTCATTGATTTATACAGATACAGAAATCTATTTTGTTAAATATATTTTTAAGGAGTCTAAATATTAATGGCAGCAATATAATATTACATTAGCCATCCATTTTATTTGTTTTCAATTTATTTTTTTCTTGTTCATGACAGAATAACCCAAAAATTTGAGTCAGTGCGTCGCCATGTGACAGAACAAGCAATGACTGTCACACAGGATGTGACACGCCTGCAGATAGAGGAGAGGAAAAAGCTGATCGCACACATCAAGCAGGCCATGACCTCACAGATACAGCTGAAGAAACAGTGGCAGGAGCTGGTGCAGATGTTGACACATGAGAGGTGAAGTCCTTACCTAACTAACCAATCTAATGCAAGCCTTTAGCTAACTTTAACCCATGAGGTGCAAGTCTTTACCTAACTTTAACCCATGAGGTGCAAGTCTTTACCTAACTTTAACCCATCAGATGCCAGTCTTTACCTAACTTTAACCAATCAAATGCAAGCCTTTACCTAACTTTAACCCATCAGATGCAAGTCTTTACTTACCTTTAACTCATGGGAAGTAGAAACTATTTACTAACCCTAACCTTAATGAACGAGAGGCTAAATTGTTGACCAAAAGCTATCTTTAATCAAAAGTCATTGTGAGAATAGGGTACTTTTTCATTCATTTTTTTCCCGAATACATTTCCTTTTTTTTTAAAAAAAGACGTATCATTTGGTAGAAAAATTAAATTTTTAAATTTTTTCTGATTTAAAAAAACAAACAATTCTTTCTTTTTTAATATTACATTTGATTGTTTAATTGTCAAAGCATTTATCATTTAAAAGGAAATGTAACGCTAATAAAGGTGTGTTGTAATGGCTTGTTTCTTTATACAACAACAGTTTTATTGCTAGTGTAGAATATTTTTTGCCCAGTCTTGATCAGCTAACTAACCATGTACCATGTACCTGCTTGTTGACAGAGGTGTTTGGTACCAGTCCGCCTCCTACCCACAGTCCTGGCAGCTTGACCCAACTGAGGGTCCTGGCCGGGTCAGGAAGAGGCTACAGAGATGCCATCTTGGCATAGATAAGAGATTTTTGCTGCCAGAACACCAAGATAAGCTAGGTGAGTAGGTGTGGTGTTAAGGTGGGCTAGTACTTAGGCTAAATTACTGGAGTCACGCTGGCTGTTTAGGAGTTAGGCTAAATTAGTGGAGTTACACTGTTTATATTTTAAATTGTTTTAATTAGCACATTTATTAATTAGTTTTAATATATTTTAAAATATTATCCCTTGGGAAATTGAATTAACATATATTAATCATTTAAAAATTATATTTCCTTAATCTCCAAAAAGTTTTTGTGATAACCACATTTTCTAACATTTTTATCGGCGGAAAGATGTGAAATGGAAAACTGCGCACAAAAAAGTGCTCTAAGGCATTTTGTTTTCTTAAATTGAGCATTTATAGAAATTAACAAATAGTGACTATATGTACCCTTGAGCATTTTAAAACATATTTCCATGAAATTTGACAAAATTAAGTGTATTAGTATAATTAGTTTGTATTTGCATATTTTTTGTTGTTGCGGTTTTCCATTGCCCGGCTTTTTCCGATTACGCAGTTTTGTGAGAACCATTTTTAGTCTTGTGATGACATCAGTGGCGTAGCGAGGTCGGGTGCCACCCGTTGCGGCACTCAATGGTGTCACCCCTCAGTAACATTTTTTATATATATTTATACTTATATATAAAGTAATAAATAAGTAAATAAATAAATAAAAAAAAAATAATATATATGTCACCCAGTGCAGTCCGCACCCCCGCCCCCCCCCCCCCTCGCTACGCCTCTGGATGACATGACATATTCTAAGATGTAACCTATAAGATGTTGCAATAAATGTTTGTTATCACCACTGTACAGAGGGGGAGACAGTGGATCCACCTCTACTTTTCCTGTTTGAAGATGACCACCAGATGTCTGACTCTGCTGCTCTCATTTATAGGCTCTACACCAATGAGAAAATACAGTAAGTCCTCTTAGTAGGCTTCATATTAATGATATGTTTACACTATATCTTATCTTATTTTCCCACGTTTTCTTTAACTTGCTTTCGCGTCTGTTTATTTATTTGTTTGTTTGTTTTTCCTATCAAATCTTGCGATCGAAATTTCAGGCACTTCCCAGTTAGCTAGCGCGCTGAAATTTTCAGGGAAGCTTTGTTTCCGATGACAATACAATATTCAATTACTATTATTACTAAATTGATCCATGGAAAAATTTTATTGATCATTGACCCCTATCGATTTGTACAAAAAAGGGACATAACCTAGTAATTGTAATTTGATAAAACAAGGTTCGGTACTTTCCCTCTTCTGGCGAGCACGCGATTGGCTGAGTAGTGGTCACGCTGTGTTTGTGTATAAACCTATGCAAATCTGACTGATCAGGAAGTAGAATGTTGATGGTCGAATGGTTTGCACGCGAGGGCAAAATGGTGAAAGAAACGGCAACACAGAAGAAACGTCGATTGGAAAAGGCACATGTTTTTTACGAGATGTCTTCGTTTACCCAAAAAAAAAAGTGAATGCGAGAAGATAAAATCGATAGCAAGATTTGACAGGCAAAGACTAAAAAGTAGAAAATAATTATCATTAAAAAAGTTTTTAAAAACCCACGTTTTCTGATTGAACTAAAAAGTAGAAAATAAATGCTATACATCACAATAATGCAAGCGATCACTATACTATAAGCGATCGCAAACTGCGTGCGCATTATGACAAAAAATGAAAAACGTGGGGCGCCTTGATTTTCTCACAGTTTCTAATATTGTTGACTCTCTACAAGCTCCCTATTAAAACTCAATAGTATTATCTAATCAATAGTAATATAACTTTTACATCTTATATTAACAATGACCGATAAAAAACTTTTACTTCGGCGCCCCACGTTTTTCATTTTTTGTCATAATGCGCATAATGATAATTATTTTTTGTGTATATTTTTTCTTAAATTAAGTTCATTTCTTGGAGCATGTAACACCTTGTTACCTACCCTTGATAATTTTTTTGTAAGTAAAAGAGTTGTTTCCCTTGTCTCTAGGCACACCTGTAAATGCACTGCTGTGTCTCCTGCTAGTGAAAGTAAGGGGGAGCTACTCGTGGGTAAGTATCTGTTCATTCAAGCATTACTATCTAACTAGTCCACTTGCAAAAGATAACTTTTTGAAAATAAAATGCATTTTACATTTAGGCTGGAATAAAATACCAAACAACAGCATTTTAGAAATATGTTGAAAAAAATATACTTCAAATTCAATCTCAATATTTGGATAAGAGAATATTTTTGAAAGTTAATCTAAAGAACAGCAGGTTTTGTTGGTAAACTTCTCATTTGCACTAGGAAACTGCATTGTCTACTAAATTTAGACAATAACCATCAAAAGTAAAATATAGGAAAGTAAATATCTTTTATCATGTTCTGTAAATCGAATATAAAAAATGATACTTTTTACATTCTTAACTTCTTATAAATCCTGAAACTCAATGAATTTGTTGAAACCTTGAAATGGATTTCATCTGTTACTGTTTCAGGAGAAGTCTGCATCTTCTTTGTGGCAGATGGTGCCATCACTGGCACCAGCTACACACAAATGTTGCTAGGCAACCTTGACCAGCTGTCCATCACATGGCCCCACACAGACATCAGAGAGCTTCACAAGAGGTGGTACCAGCTTCAGGACGTCGGCCTTGAGATCTTCCTCATCAGCGGCCGCACCTGCCTACTGGCCTTCCAGTCTACTAAGGTGAGTACTGACACAATTTACAGGTAGACTCATCAGCGGCCGCACCTGTCTCTACTGGCCTTCCAGTCTACTAAGGTGAGTACTGACACAATTTTTACAGGTAGACTCATCAATGGCCGCACCTGTCTCTACTGGCCTTCCAGTCTACTAAGGTGAGTACTGACACAATTTACAGGTAGACTTATCAATGGCCGCACCTGTCTACTTGCCTTCCAGTCTACTAAGGTGAGTACTGACACAATTTACAGGTAGACTTATCAATGGCCGCACCTGTCTCTACTGGCCTTCCAGTCTACTAAGGTGAGTACTGACACAATTTACAGGTAGACTCATCAATGGCCGCACCTGTCTCTACTGGCCTTCCAGTCTACTAAGGTGAGTACTGACACAATTTTTACAGGTAGACTCATCAATGGCCGCACCTGTCTCTACTGGCCTTCCAGTCTACTAAGGTGAGTACTGACACAATTTTTACAGGTAGACTCATCAATGGCCGCACCTGTCTACTGGCCTTCCAGTCTACTAAGGTGAGTACTGACACAATTTTTACAGGTAGACTCATCAATGGCCGCACCTGTCTACTGGCCTTCCAGTCTACTAAGGTGAGTACTGACACAATTTACAGGTAGACTTATCAATGGCCGCACCTGTCTACTTGCCTTCCAGTCTACTAAGGTGAGTACTGACACAATTTACAGGTAGACTCATCAATGGCCGCACCTGCCTACTGGCCTTCCAGTCTACTAAGGTGAGTACTGACACAATTTACAGGTAGACTCATCAGCGGCCGCACCTGCCTACTGGCCTTCCAGTCTACTAAGGTGAGTACTGACACAATTTACAGGTGAGAACTAACTCAATTGGAAATCATTGGTGGTTGCATTTGTCTATTGGCCTTTCAGTGTACTATGGTTGGTACATTTACATTTGGGCTTACAAAGACTACAAATGTTTGAAGACTTTATAGCAAGTTGTGACATCAAGAAGTTCATTCTTTAAAAACATCATCTCATGTAATATTTTAATGTATTAATGCACATCTTTAAAAGTTTAATGCTTAACACTTAAAAGCAGGAATGACAGTCAATATGTCAATTCACTTTTGCAGAACAATATCCCCACCATTTTTTTAAATTCTAAAAGTTGTAATTGATTTGTCTTGTTAATTATTTTTTCATAAGCAAGTTAAGGGATAAAACTGCACTAACATGCCTTTTTTTTTTAAATTATTTTTTTTTTTATTGTAGGACAGTGATGACCTGTACAACATTTATTTTTGTATGTAGGACAGGGATGACCTGTACAACATTTATTTTTGTATTGTAGGAAAAGTACATCATTTATTTTTGTATTGTAGGACAGGGATGACCTATACAACATTTATTTTTGTATTGTAGGACAGGGATGACCTGTACAACATTTATTTTTGTATTGTAGGACAAGAATGACCTATACAACATTTATTTTTGTATTGTAGGACAAGAATGACCTATACAACATTTATTTTTGTATTGTAGGACAAGAATGACCTATACAACATTTATTTTTGTATTGTAGGAAAAGTACATCATTTATTTTTGTATTGTAGGACAGGGATGACCTATACAACATTTATTTTTGTATCCTAGGAAAAGTACAACATTTATTTTTGTAATGTAGGACAGGGATGACCTGTATAACATTTATTTTTGTATTGTAGGACAGGGATGACCTATACAACATTTATTTTTGTATTGTAGGACAAGTATGACCTGTACAACATTTATTTTTGTATTGTAGGACAGGGATGACCTGTACAACATTTATTTTTGTATTGTAGGACAGGGATGACCTGTACAACATTTATTTTTGTATTATAGGACAGGGATGACCTGTACAACATCCTGCGCAGTTCTCTGGAACTGCCAAATCTGGTGGCAGCAGAGACACTGCAGACAGTGCAGCAGGGATGGCTGTCAGGTGAAGTGAGCAACTACGACTACCTGATGCACCTGAACAAGCTAGCAGGTCGCAGCTACACAGATTTGATGCAATACCCAGTTTTCCCCTTCATCCTCAGAGACTACGCCAGCTCTGTCATACACCTGAGGGACCAAAAAATCTATAGGTATATTGTTTAGCCAGTTTTTGTTGCCTTAACATTGTTTAAAACTTGGATCAAGTGGGAACTAACTGTTTAAGCTTGGTGATCACTGCTTGAATCATAAATTGTCATTTCAGTATAACGGTTTTAGTTAGCAAAGAATTATGTCTTTGGTTTTTCAAAGTACTTTTGGATAATGTGATGACATGACATAAAAAAAAATTTTCTTCAGAAATTTGAAGAAACCTGTGGCAGTACAAGATAAATCTAAAGAAAAGCGTTACAAAGATAACTACGAGGTGAGCTCATTTGCATTTTGTGCTTTACAAGATTGTAAAAATATAGCTGATAACTGTAGTTGGTGTACAACTTAAAGAGGGAAGTTTGAAGTAGAAATCTTTATGATAAATAATTTGACATTTAAGTTTTAGAACTCTTTTTGATAACACTCCGAGTTCTATGGAGCTAAACTGAGAGATTGTTATGTTTCAATATAATTTTTTTGCGTCGTCTCTAGCAGTGAAATGAGATGTTTCAAAATGTTACTTACATATAACAACACTTCATTTCTTATACTTTTTAAAACTTTAAAAATAATTAAATTAATATCATTTCATATAGACAGTTGATTATCTTCAAATTGACTGAGTACATGTTATGTGTTTGTTTATTGTTTAGTTTTTGTGTCAAGAAGCCAGCAGGCCTGAATGTCAGGAGGAGATGATGCGTGTGGCCCCCTTTCACTACGGCAGCCATTACTCCAACAGTGGAACAGTCCTGCACTACATGGTGCGTCTGCCACCTTTCACACGCATGTTTCTCACTTTTCAAGGTCAGTTTACTTTGTTTTTTCTACTTATATTTATTAACCAATTATATATTTATTAAAGTTTATTGTGTGTTCAAAATAATAATTCGAAATTTAAAATTTTAAAAAATTTTCAATAAAATCTTTGTTTTTTTTTGGAACAGCTTATCAGATTCTGTTATCAGACTGTAGCAAGAGTTTCTTTTATTTCTCAGATCGCAACTTTGACCTCCCTGATAGAACCTTCCACAGCCTGAGCACGTCGTGGAGGCTGTCTAGTTTTGACTCCAGCACTGACGTCAAGGAGCTGATCCCTGAATTCTTTTTCCTGCCAGAGTTTCTCATCAACACTGAAGGTCAGGGCAGCATTGTCTCATTTTTTGTAGAACCAGTTGATAATGTTTGGTGTTTTATAGAATGTTCTAAATCTATTTTAATGTGCAGTCCAATTTTTTTCAAACAAGGATAATTTGATGTGCAGATTTTGAAGTTTTACAATCTCATTGTGCATTTATTTTAATTGTTCAGCTTTTTTATGATACATCAAATTCTTAATAAAACAAATATTTGTTGAACAGCTTTGATATAGTATCAGAAGTTTAATGATTTGACAAGTTGTTAAACAGTTTTTATGAATTATCTGAATCTAATGGCACAATTATTTGTTGTACAGGTTTCAACTTTGGTCAGCGGCAGAATGGTGAACAGGTGAACAATGTAAACCTGCCACCATGGTGTGAAGGTGACCCGCGTCTGTTTGTCCTGATTCACCGCCAGGCTCTAGAGTCGGCGCCTGTCACGTCCGAGCTGAACCACTGGCTTGACCTGGTCTTTGGCTACAAGCAGCAGGGGGAAGAGGCCGTCAAGGCCATTAATGTCTTTCACCCCTCTGTGAGTCACTGTCATCCTTCATCACAGTTTGTTCAGAATTAGAATATTTATATTATTTAAATTACTTCACCAGGGCAGATTTTAATAAACTGTTGCTGACCCTAAAAAAGTTATACTTTTTCTAAATTCTCTTCAAAGACCAAATAAAGAAACAAATAGTCAAGTATCTTCAGTTTATCAAGTTCTAGATTTTAAAGTTGTATTATTATTAAAATGCCTTTTTATAATACATAATACTTTAACGCATTATTAACTTCTAATTTTAATCTGTTGAACATTAAATAACCAATTATAATATCTAAAAAGTATGCATTCATCCTACAAACAGGCTTTGATTCAAATTGTCCTAAACAAAGCAATTATTTAGTACTTTATGTAAACATTTTAGCAATAACTATGTTGCAATAATTCATGAACATAGATTTATATAGTTTGTTTATATTTTAACTGTGATAACAGACTTACTTTGGGGTGGATGCCAGCACAGTGAGAGACCCCCTCAAGAGGCAGGCCCTGCTGACCATGATAAGAACCTACGGCCAGACACCCAAGCAGTTGTTCCGGAACCCCCACCCTGTCAGACATGTTCCGTTCCAGCCTCCTTCATACACTGGCTCTGAGGAGAGGAGAATGTATGTGGTGAGTAGAGTCTGGCTAGAACTGGTGCACTGCTTGCTTCTGTAATGATGGAGCTGTTGAAATGAAAATCACCACTGAGAATGAGATTGTTTTTATTACATGTTGTGATCTAGATGAATGGTCCTAACACCATTATGTTTTTCTCTCTTTTTATATACTTAAAAAAAACATTCATTAAGCTACAACACTCAGCATTTCATTTTGTTAGTAAGTCACAAGAAATGGTAAAAGGGGCCTATTTAATACTAATGAACCCTGCTAAATCTGTAGAATTTATGCTAAAATTTTAACTATCACTGCCCAACAATGACATGTTATATCCTAGCCTACACCTGTACCAACTGTGTTATATCCTAGCCTACACCTGTACCAACTGTTATATCCTAGCCTACACCTGTACCAACTGTGTTCTATCCTAGCCTACACCTGTACCAGCTGTGTTATATCCTAGCCTACACCTGTACCAACTGTGTTCTATCCTAGCCTACACCTGTACCAACTGTGTTCTATCCTAGCCTACACCTGTACCAACTGTGTTATATCCTAGCCTACACCTGTACCAACTGTGTTATATCCTAGCCTACACCTGTACCAACTGTCTTCTATCCTAGCCTACACCTGTACCAACTGTTCTATCCTAGCCTACACCTGTACCATGTTATATCCTAGCCTACACCTGTACCAACTGTGTTCTATCCTAGCCTACACCTGTACCAACTGTGTTCTATCCTAGCCTACACCTGTACCCAATGTGTTCTATCCTAGCCTACACCTGTACCAACTGTGTTCTATCCTAGCCTACACCTGTACCAACTGTGTTATATCCTAGCCTACACCTGTACCAACTGTGTTATATCCTAGCCTACACCTGTACCAACTGTCTTCTATCCTAGCCTACACCTGTACCAACTGTGTTCTATCCTAGCCTACACCTGTACCAACTGTGTTATATCCTAGCCTACACCTGTACCAACTGTGTTATATCCTAGCCTACACCTGTACCAACTGTCTTCTATCCTAGCCTACACCTGTACCAACTGTTCTATCCTAGCCTACACCTGTACCAAATATTATATCCTAGCCTACACCTGTACCAACTGTGACTGGACTCAAGTGGGGCATCTACCTGGGCTCACCTGACCTGCCCCCACCTGTGTACCGGGACATCCTCACCCTCGGGACCAAGAGAGTGACCAGGCTAGTTGCCCTACCTACAGGCCCTGTGTTTGGTGTGGAGAGGACTGCCAACATCATTTTGCTGCATGGAAAACAGAGAGGTGTGGATTTTATTATAAATTTTATTTAACTTGCTTCCTCTGTCTGTTGTCGTAGATCAAAACTGCCAAGCAAAATTTCGAGTACTTCTAAAATGACCAATTTGTTTCAAGACCCGTTGACTATGCAATCTGACATCAAATGTGACTTAATTGGATGCCTAATTAATTTTTTATGTAGTAATTAAAATTTCCTAAATAAAGAATTGTGTCCTACTATTATTCCATATTATTATACACGGATTATCATGTTCATTTGGTGCAAAATACTTTTTAGTCAAGCAACTCTACTGAAAAATAAAATGCCTAAAAAACATTTTAATAACAAGCTTTTATATAAAAATGCACTAAAAAGGAGAAAATAAATGATTTTCTTTAAATATATAAAAATATACTACTATTTAAATAACTATTAAGAAAAGCGTGAGTCACTATATTAGCTATTGGATACCTTTACTAATATTTAGGAAACAAAGTTTGAAATGAATCAGTCAGTTAGAAGTGATTAAAATTTCGCTCGGCAGTTTTGATCAATGACGCGAAGCAAGTTCAATAAAATCTTGTAAAAATATTTTAACAACAAGCTTTTATGTTATGATGCATTTAAAATGAGGAAATAAATGATTTTCTTTAAATATATAATAGTGCACTACTATTTAAAAAACTATAAAGAAAAGTGTTGGTCTCTTCCTAAATATTAGTAAATGTATCCAATAAATAAATATTTATAACTTTAAAACCTTTTTATTTTCTCCAAGACATGGCTGTCAAATCAATGGATGTCATGTGGGCAGGTGTCATCACCTGGGGTTACCATGACAACATCATCAGAATCCGCAGCTACCAGGACAAACCGCTCATCAACTTTGTCCAGCAAAGCTCATTTGGGAAGGTCTGTAATTTTGCTTTACCTTTCCACATGTTAATCTTTCACCACTTAGTTGTTGATGTTCTTTTATATAGTGCCTACATTTTATTAGTTAGTTTTTTTTTAAACTTAGCCCACATCCAGTAGTTTAAAATGTTAATTCATCATCTTAATATTTTCAACTCCTCGCATAAAACTACAGTTTACTGACTTAAGTTTGGCTTTTATTCAATGTTCTAACCTGATCAGGTGACCTGTGTGGAATCTGTTCCGGACTGCCGTCTGCTTTTTACTGCTGGAACTTCTGGAATCATCCATGTGTTTACAATGACCCACAATTCCTCCAAAGTAATTTCCTTTCTTGTATTCATCCAACATTTAAAAAATAAATAATAATTATTTCTCATTTGTGAGTCTAAGATAAAAAAAACCTATTGAGACTGTGATCAATCTTAGTAGTGTTAAATATAATTTTATTGATTGCTGTTTTATAGTTTATAGATCAAGCTTAGTAGTGTTAGATATAATTTTATTGATTGCTGTTTTATAGTTTATAGATCAATCTTAGTAGTGTTAAATATAATTTTATTGATTGCTGTTTTATAGTTTATAGATCAAGCTTAGTAGTGTTAGATATAATTTTATTGATTGCTGTTTTATAGTTTATAGATCAATCTTAGTAGTGTTAGATATAATTTTATTGATTGCTGTTTTATAGTTTATAGATCAATCTTAGTAGTGTTAGATATAATTTTATTGATTGCTGTTTTATAGTTTATAGATCAATCTTAGTAGTGTTAGATATAATTTTATTGATTGCTGTTTTATAGTTTATAGATCATTCTTAGTAGTGTTAGATATAATTTTATTGATTGCTGTTTTTAAATTTTATAGATCTAGCTTAGTATAGAAAATTATATTTTAAAAAGAATCAAGAAAAAGAAATTTTTACTTTGTTAAAAAATAATTTAAAAATTCCAACTTATAATTAACTTGATTTTGATTTGAATCAGTTCCCTTTTTGTACCTGACAGTCCATGAGGCAAGTGAAATAGAGTTCACCTGTTTCTGTGACAACAATCAATCAGTATGTACATTCATCATATTATGCACTATCTTGTCAATCTTGTCTGTTTATTACCCAGCCAAGCAACCTACAACTTCGGGGTGTGAGGAGGAAGCTTGTTGGCCACTCTGGTCCCATCACCTGTCTGTCTGTGTGCCAGGCCTTCAGTATCTTGGTCAGTGCCAGCAGTGACGGCACCTGTATCATCTGGGACCTGAATAGACTGACCTATGTCAGGTCCATCACCAGCCACTGTGCGGAGGTCAGCACCTTGACCATCAGTGACACACTGGGAGATATTGCCAGTGTCAGTCACTCAGGTAAGAATTGAATGTTAAGGCTAAGTAACGCAAGCTATCATTTACCAGGACAGAGTTGTACATTAATGATGGCACAGTTTTTTTTTGTTCCTACCTGATGACACCACTTATAGACACCTTCTAATGACATGAACTGTTCCTACCTGAAGACACCATTTATAGACACCTTCTAATGACATGAATTGTTCCTACCTGATGACACCACTTATAGACACCTTCTAATGACATGAATTGTTCCTACCTGAAGACACCATTTATAGACACCTTCTAAAGACATGAACTGTTCCTACCTGATAACACCATTTATAGACACCTTCTAAAGACATGAACTGTTCCTACCTGATAACACCACTTACAGACACCTTCTAAAGACATGAACTGTTTCTACCCTACCTGATGACACCACTTATAGACACCTTCTAATGACGTGAACTGTTCCTACCTGATGACACCACTTATAGACACCACTTAATGATGTGAATTGTTCCTACCTGAAAACACCACTTACAGACACCACTTAATGATGTGAATTGTTCCTACCTGAAAACACCACTTACAGACACCACTTAATGATGTGAATTGTTCCTACCTGAAAACACCACTTACAGACACCACTTAATGATGTGAATTGTTCCTACCTGAAAACACCACTTACAGACACCACTAAATGACGTGAATTGTTCCTACCTGAAAACACCACTTACAGACACCACTTAATGATGTGAATTGTTTCTACCTGAAAACACCACTTACAGACACCACTAAATGACGTGAATTGTTCCTACCTGAAAACACCACTTACAGACACCACTTAATGATGTGAATTGTTCCTACCTGAAAACACCACTTACAGACACCACTAAATGACGTGAATTGTTCCTACCTGAAAACACCACTTACAGACACCACTTAATGATGTGAATTGTTCCTACCTGAAAACACCACTTACAGACACCACTAAATGACGTGAATTGTTCCTACCTGAAAACACCACTTACAGACACCACTAAATGACGTGAACTGTTTCCCCATACAGGAGACTCCAGCATCCTCCAGCTCCACACAGTCAACGCCAGCCACGTGGCCACTGTCAAGGTGTCAGACACCATCCACTGTCTGGCCTACTCCAGCGCTCCAGAGGGTAGATCAGTCAACGTGGTGGCAGGAGGGCTAGAGTCTGGCAGCATCAGGTTGGTTGTCTACTGGTTGCTGTGTTAACTCATGCTGTTGTCTACTGGCCACTGTGTTAACTGTTGTCTACCGGCCACTGTGTTAACTCATGCTGTTGTCTACTGGCCACTGTGTTAACTGTTGTCTACCGGCCACTGTGTTAACTCATGCTGTTGTCTACTGGCCACTATGTTAACTGTTGTCTACCGGCCACTGTGTTAACTCATGCTGTTGTCTACTGGCCACTGTGTTAACTCATGCTGTTGTCTACTGGCCACTATGTTAACTCATGCTGTTGTCTACTGGCCACTGTGTTAACTCATGCTGTTGTCTACTGGCCACTGTGTTAACTGTTGTCTACTGGCCACTGTGTTAACTGTTGTCTACTGGCCACTGTGTTAACTGTTGTCTACTGGCCACTATGTTAATTGTTGTCTACTGGCCACTGTTTTAACTCATGCTGTTGTCTACTGGCCACTGTGTTAACTCATGCTGTTGTCTACTGGCCACTGTGTTAACTCATGCTGTTGTCTACTGGCCACTGTGTTAACTCATGCTGTTGTCTACTGGCCACTGTGTTAACTGTTGTCTACTGGCCACTGTGTTAACTCATGCTGTTGTCTACTGGCCACTGTGTTAACTGTTGTCTACTGGCCACTGTGTTAACTCATGCTGTTGTCTACTGGCCACTGTGTTAACTGTTGTCTACTGACCACTGTGTTAACTCATGCTGTTGTCTACTGGCCACTGTGTTAACTGTTGTCTACTGGCCACTGTGTTAACTCATGCTGTTGTCTACTGGCCACTGTGTTAACTCATGCTGTTGTCTACTGGCCACTATGTTAACTCATGCAGTTTTCTACTGGCCACTGTGTTAACTCATGCTGTTGTCTACTGGCCACTGTGTTAACTGTTGTCTACCGGCCACTGTGTTAACTGTTGTCTACTGGCCACTGTGTTAACTCATGCTGTTGTCTACTGGCCACTATGTTAACTCATGCTGTTGTCTACTGGCCACTGTGTTAACTGTTGTCTACTGGCCACTGTGTTAACTCATGCTGTTGTCTACTGGCCACTGTGTTAACTGTTGTCTACTGGCCACTGTGTTAACTCATGCTGTTGTCTACTGGCCACTGTGTTAACTGTTGTCTACTGGCCACTGTGTTAACTCATGCTGTTGTCTACTGGCCACTGTGTTAACTCATGCTGTTGTCTACTGGCCACTATGTTAACTCATGCAGTTTTCTACTGGCCACTGTGTTAACTCATGCTATTGTCTACTGGCCACTGTGTTAACTCATGCTGTTGTCTACTGGCCACTATGTTAACTGTTGTCTACTGGCCACTGTGTTAACTCATGCTGTTGTCTACTGGCCACTGTGTTAACTCATGCTGTTGTCTACTGGCCACTGTGTTAACTCATGCTGTTGTCTACTGGCCACTGTGTTAACTCATGCTGTTGTCTACTGGCCACTGTGTTAACTCATGCTGTTATCTACTGGCCACTGTGTTAACTCATGCTGTTGTCTACTGGCCACTGTGTTAACTGTTGTCTACTGACCACTGTGTTAACTGTTGTCTACTGGCCACTGTGTTAACTGTTGTCTACTGGCCACTGTGTTAACTGTTGTCTACTGGCCACTGTTTTAACTCATGCAGTTGTCTACTGGCCACTGTTTTAACTCATGCAGTTTTCTACTGGCCACTGTGTTAACTCATGCTGTTGTCTACTGGCCACTGTGTTAACTCATGCTGTTGTCTACTGGCCACTGTGTTAACTGTTGTCTACTGGCCACTGTGTTAACTCATGCTGTTGTCTACTGGCCACTGTGTTAACTCATGCTGTTGTCTACTGGCCACTGTGTTAACTGTTGTCTACTGGCCACTGTGTTAACTGTTGTCTACTGACCACTGTGTTAACTGTTGTCTACTGGCCACTGTGTTAACTGTTGTCTACTGGCCACTGTGTTAACTCATGCTGTTGTCTACTGGCCACTGTGTTAACTGTTGTCTACTGGCCACTGTGTTAACTCATGCTGTTGTCTACTGGCCACTGTGTTAACTGTTGTCTACTGGCCACTGTGTTAACTGTTGTCTACTGGCCACTGTGTTAACTGTTGTCTACTGGCCACTGTGTTAACTCATGCTGTTGTCTACTGGCCACTGTGTTAACTGTTGTCTACTGGCCACTGTGTTAACTCATGCTGTTGTCTACTGGCCACTGTGTTAACTCATGCTGTTGTCTACTGGCCACTGTGTTAACTGTTGTCTACTGGCCACTGTGTTAACTCATGCTGTTGTCTACTGGCCACTGTGTTAACTGTTGTCTACTGGCCACTGTGTTAACTCATGCTGTTGTCTACTGGCCACTGTGTTAACTCATGCTGTTGTCTACTGGCCACTATGTTAACTCATGCAGTTTTCTACTGGCCACTGTGTTAACTCATGCTGTTGTCTACTGGCCACTGTGTTAACTGTTGTCTACCGGCCACTGTGTTAACTGTTGTCTACTGGCCACTGTGTTAACTCATGCTGTTGTCTACTGGCCACTGTGTTAACTGTTGTCTACTGGCCACTGTGTTAACTCATGCTGTTGTCTACTGGCCACTGTGTTAACTCATGCTGTTGTCTACTGGCCACTGTGTTAACTCATGCTGTTGTCTACTGGCCACTGTGTTAACTCATGCTGTTGTCTACTGGCCACTATGTTAACTCATGCAGTTTTCTACTGGCCACTGTGTTAACTCATGCTGTTGTCTACTGGCCACTGTGTTAACTCATGCTGTTGTCTACTGGCCACTGTGTTAACTCATGCTGTTGTCTACTGGCCACTATGTTAACTGTTGTCTACTGGCCACTGTGTTAACTCATGCTGTTGTCTACTGGCCACTGTGTTAACTCATGCTGTTGTCTACTGGCCACTGTGTTAACTCATGCTGTTTTCTACTGGCCACTGTGTTAACTGTTGTCTACTGGCCACTGTGTTAACTGTTGTCTACTGGCCACTGTGTTAACTCATGCTGTTGTCTACTGGCCACTGTGTTAACTCATGCTGTTGTCTACTGGCCACTGTGTTAACTCATGCTGTTGTCTACTGGCCACTGTGTTAACTGTTGTCTACTGGCCACTGTGTTAACTGTTGTCTACTGACCACTGTGTTAACTGTTGTCTACTGGCCACTGTGTTAACTGTTGTCTACTGGCCACTGTGTTAACTCATGCTGTTGTCTACTGGCCACTGTGTTAACTGTTGTCTACTGGCCACTGTGTTAACTCATGCTGTTGTCTACTGGCCACTGTGTTAACTGTTGTCTACTGGCCACTGTGTTAACTCATGCTGTTGTCTACTGGCCACTATGTTAACTGTTGTCTACTGGCCACTGTGTTAACTCATGCTGTTGTCTACTGGCCACTGTGTTAACTGTTGTCTACTGGCCACTGTGTTAACTCATGCTGTTGTCTACTGGCCACTGTGTTAACTGTTGTCTACTGGCCACTGTGTTAACTCATGCTGTTGTCTACTGGCCACTGTGTTAACTCATGCTGTTGTCTACTGGCCACTGTGTTAACTGTTGTCTACTGGCCACTGTGTTAACTCATGCTGTTGTCTACTGGCCACTGTGTTAACTGTTGTCTACTGGCCACTGTGTTAACTCATGCTGTTGTCTACTGGCCACTGTGTTAACTGTTGTCTACTGGCCACTGTGTTAACTCATGCTGTTGTCTACTGGCCACTGTGTTAACTGTTGTCTACCGGCCACTGTGTTAACTCATGCTGTTGTCTACTGGCCACTATGTTAACTCATGCTGTTATCTACTGGCCACTGTGTTAACTCATGCTGTTGTCTACTGGCCACTGTGTTAACTGTTGTCTACTGGCCACTGTGTTAACTCATGCTGTTGTCTACTGGCCACTGTGTTAACTCATGCTGTTGTCTACCGGCCACTGTGTTAACTCATGCTGTTGTCTACTGGCCACTGTGTTAACTGTTGTCTACTGGCCACTGTGTTAACTGTTGTCTACCGGCCACTGTGTTAACTCATGCTGTTGTCTACTGGCCACTGTGTTAACTCATGCTGTTGTCTACTGGCCACTGTGTTAACTCATGCTGTTGTCTACTGGCCACTGTGTTAACTGTTGTCTACTGGCCACTGTGTTAACTCATGCTGTTGTCTACTGGCCACTGTGTTAACTGTTGTCTACCGGCCACTGTGTTAACTCATGCTGTTGTCTACTGGCCACTGTGTTAACTCATGCTGTTATCTACTGGCCACTGTGTTAACTCATGCTGTTTTCTACTGGCCACTGTGTTAACTGTTTTCTACTGGCCACTGTGTTAACTGTTGTCTACTGGCCACTGTGTTAACTCATGCTGTTGTCTACTGGCCACTATGTTAACTGTTGTCTACTGGCCACTGTGTTAACTCATGCTGTTGTCTACTGGCCACTATGTTAACTGTTGTCTACTGGCCACTGTGTTAACTCATGCTGTTGTCTACTGGCCACTATGTTAACTGTTGTCTACTGGCCACTGTGTTAACTCATGCTGTTGTCTACTGGCCACTATGTTAACTGTTGTCTACTGGCCACTGTGTTAACTCATGCTGTTGTCTACTGGCCACTGTGTTAACTCATGCTGTTGTCTACTGGCCACTGTGTTAACTCATGCTGTTGTCTACTGGCCACTGTGTTAACTGTTGTCTACTGGCCACTGTGTTAACTCATGCTGTTGTCTACTGGCCACTGTGTTAACTGTTGTCTACTGGCCACTGTGTTAACTGTTGTCTACTGGCCACTGTGTTAACTCATGCTGTTGTCTACTGGCCACTGTGTTAACTCATGCTGTTGTCTACCGGCCACTGTGTTAACTCATGCTGTTTTCTACTGGCCGCTGTGTTAACTCGTGCTGTTGTCTACTGGCCACTGGTTGGACCACTCACCCTGTCCATACTACTATCATTACAATGTTTTTTTAAATTAAAATTTTTCCAACTGAATGTTTTGTTTAAAGCATTATCTATTATGGTCCACAAAGTGTTTTTTAAATCAAAGTATTCTGATGTCCTGTATTTAAATTTTGTTTCGTCTAACGTACTACTCAAAGATTTGTTGTTTGAATAAATCCCCTTGAATCTCCACTAACCAATGAGCAACAATCCTAGGTTGTGGAGCAGTTGGGACCTGTCACCATTAAAAGATTTGACAAAAGACAACCCTAACCCTAAGGCAGTCATTGGGTACTGTAAAACCTTTTTTAATTGTACAATAGGAATTTTAAATTTAATTAATGTTTTTTCATTTTCTAAATAGAAATGTGTACAAACTACCAAATTAAATATTACATCTATTAAGAAACTAAAAATAATGTTTCTAACCTGTGACTTATTATTTTTCTCTGCCTAGGTTAACTTTCTCCGCTGATTCCCAATACTTGATGGCATCTTCTGCTGATGGGCTGATAACTCTGTGGGGAAAAGATTTAAAGTCATTGAGGGAGCACTCGGAGAAATTTATCCCTGTCATCAGCTCACAGGATGGAGAAAAATAAATCTGTAGCAAACATTGGAACAAAAATATTGATGACAAACCTGACATTTCTTAAAGTTATTTTACCAAAAATAAATGTTAAAAACTTACCCTCAGTTAGCTGTTTGAGGGATAAAATATGGCAGTATTTTGTAAAATATTTTTAAAAACTGCATATTTATTTATTTAAAAGACTTTAAAAGAACTAGGTGCTGATTCATGTATAGTTTATGTTCTTGAATTAGGCTTCACCGATACTTTCAAATGAACTTGTGGTTTAAAATGACTGAATCTACTGGCTGTGTTTAAAATGATGTTTTCACCTTTGTATTGAAAAAAATACTTAATACTTTTATAACTTAGTTTCTTTACTAATTTGTATTTTTAAAATTTATTATATAACATAACAAAATGTCATACATTTCATGTAGTTGGTAATAATTAATTTACTAGTCAAATTTCATTTATTTATTTCCACAATCATTTTTTAAACTGTGCAAAAGTAATGTATGTCATTTTTCTTTTGTAAATCAATATTTATAACTTAGCCATATTCTGAACTGAAGTATACATGTGATGCTTACAATAATTGAGCAAATATTATATCCCAATTCATAATACATTTTTCATATTAAAAAAAAGAATTCTTTATTTATATTTGATGTAAATAGATTATTGTTAGATTTAACATTGAGGGCCCTTCATGTTATCATTTACCGTATTACTGGATGCATTCCTATTTAATACTCACCAATGATATTTACCCGTACATAGTTTAAATGTTGAACTGTTTTCAAGCAAAAAGTGTTCATCTAACTAAATTTCTACATGTAAAAATCTTTTTTTGACCAGCATTAGTAATTGTACTAAAGCTAGTTTTCTAATTCAATGAAAATGTTTCTCTGATGGTTAAGGAATGAACACACAGAAAAATGTTTATGAAAGATGTTTTATTTTTTTTATATCTTACAGCTAATCAACTAAATCATTGTTTAAAAAACTAGTGGCTCATTAGCTTGTATTTCCATTTAGAAACTTATTTTGTGTGTGTGTGTGTGAAAATATTTTGTTAAATTAGAATGTGCTTTATGAACAAATATTTATTCAAACGTATTTGTAGATGTTTACATCCCACTGCCATTGGTTGATGACCTAATGTTGTTTAGATGGATCAATAATTCCTTCTTGTCTTCTTAGATCCTTCATGGTGGTTCTTATACCTATGCAAATTAATTCTAGATTATTTTTGTTGTTTTATCTTTTTGTTCATGCTATTTCAAACTGTATCTTTTGTCAGTTTTATTTCAAATATGCAATGGGAATTTCTGTTAAAAATTTGGATTTCTGTTAGAAATTAAGATATTAAGTTGTTTACCATGTTTTCTAACCCTTAGTAAGAAATGACTTAAATAATTCCATTTTGAGATTTGTATTTTTATATGAAGATGAAGATACCTATTTATATAAATAATCCTGACAGAAAAACACTATTTACATAGTCAGCTATTTTTGTTGGATGTTATTCAGCTCAAGAAAATCTATTGATTGTCTCCCATTATGTAAATAGATGACCTCTGACCTTGATTTCTATTTTGTTTTATCCCACACCTATTTCTAAATCCATCAAATTGTCTTTCTTTCTTTTCCTCTTTGTTGCTCGCTCTTAATTGCATTCCACAATGTAGACATAAGTTATTTTAAAATAGTTTTATTGCAAATATTCAGATAAAATCAAATCAGGTTGCATAACATCTTAATAAAAATTTAATTTTGATGTGAATTAATTTTTACTAAAGAATCAATATTGAACAGATTTTGTAGCTTGTAGATAATAATCGTATTCTGCTCATTGTTTTATATAAATAAATATTCTTTTGTTATTGTCAAAATATGTATAATTTTATTGTTACGTTTTATAATTTGAAAAGTTTAGTATTCTCAGTTTTACAGTTTAATTTAGAGTCCTAACATTATTTCTTTGTGATAATCTAATCTACTCTTAGATATCTTTTGTTCTTTATCAATGTTTATTCCTGTGAACTATGTTAAACTGTTTACTGCAAACCAGATGAAATATTATATTTTTACATTCTATGTACAGAAACAACATTTAGGAAAAAAATTACCTACTGATTGACAAAATAAGATTTTGTTTCTAAGTTGTCTGAACATAAGCGAACAAATGTTCAGTCAGAAGAAACATAAGTACATTTCACTTAAACATAAGAAAGAAAATTTTTGTTATTAATTGTGTAACAGCTTTTATAATATATGACCACTCTGCAGACAGAAAGAAAATATTGTAATTAAAATTGAAAACTGATGCTAAATAATTCAACTTTTTATAAATAAACATGTTTTTAAAAATTCTCCCAGGGTTTGAATGGTGTACTGGCTTTCTGTCAATCAGTGTAAATTAGTCTTACACTTTTGAAAGCTTTACAGTATTGCTACAAATTTTTACTGTGTTTATGTATTGTTGTTATCAATGTAGATGGGCTACAACAATAATTCAGCACTGATACATGCTCAAATAAAAAAATTGTACCAAGTTTTGAACACACCTTAACTAGTTGTAAGTGAATTATATGTTCATCTGCTATAGATGCAAGTATTTTTCTAGTCACCTAGTGTGAAAGGTCAGAAAGAGTATTGATACTATGGATAGATAATTTAAACAAGCAGTTCTACAGTAAGTGATTAGCTGCCATGTTAAAAACAGTGTGATACAATTTGTACAATGTTTGTTTTAATTTACATCTTTCTATTTTTATTTAAATTGTATTTTTTTATAATGTCTAAGTTAAAAAATTAAATTCTATTTGAACAGTTGGACTTTGTTGTGTTCTTTTATCATTGGATAGTGATGGAATCTCTGTAAAGCTGCACAGGACAGGGGAAAAAAACATTGCCAGTCCCTCCTGATAATGAGGATTGAAGCAATCACCTACCCTCTTCCTCCATCCTCACTATTGAATAGTTAAATAGGCCTACAATTATTTTACATGAATGCTATTTAGAGATATGCTTAAAAGAAATACTGTCTACATTGTCCCCTAACCCGTCACATAATACAATAGCTGTACTTGTAATTAAAAAGATTAAATTCTATTATAAATGTTTATTATTTTAATGCGTATGGGTGTATAGAATATTCGGATTTGAATTTTTTAAAAATGCAAATGTTTTCAAATAACAGCATGAATAAAATTATTGACAATTCTTCTATAATAAATAATTAATAACAATTCGTTTATAGTAAAAAATAATTTAATTTTTGATCAGTAACTAAGTTTTGTACGGGCTACCTCCTTTGATTTTCTAAATTCGAAAATTCTGCAATAAATTTACGGTCAAAGGGGAACAAACATGAAATTGTTTCACTTCGTAGTTTAGCTGAAGTAACCCCCCTTATTGAATTGCTATCTTAAAAGCCAAAAAACATTTGATTTAACAAATTAAACTCGAGCTTAATATTTTCTAAATAGCTCATAATTAAATTTTGATAATCTCAAGTACTTTTTAACAGTCTTACCAATAAAGTACCTAGAAGAAACAAGATCAATAATCTAAATTTGACCGTAGCTGTTTGTTTTTTAAGAGTTATATTATTGGGCATGTTTTGGTAAAAAATTTGCTAATATTTTCAAATAACATAATGAATAAAATTAGTGACGATTCGTCTATATAAATAATTATGTTGTTTTTAATCAGTAAAAAAGTTTTGTACGGGTTACCTCGCTTTAATTTTCTACATTCGAAAATTCTGCAATAAATTTATGGTCAAAGGGGAACAAACATGAAATTGTTTCACTCCGTAGTTTAGCTGAAGTAATCCCCCTTATTGAACCGCTTTCTTAAAAGCCAAAAAACATTTAATTTAACAAATTAAACTCGAGCTAAATATTTTCTAAATAGCTCATAATTAAATTTTGATAATCTCAAGTACTTTTTAACAGTCTAACCAATAAAGTACCTAGAAGAAACAAGATCAATAATCTAAATTTGACCGTAGCTGTTGGTTTTTTAACAGTTATATTTCTGGGCATGTTTTGGTAAAAAATTTGCTAATATTTTTAAATAACAGAATGAATAAAATTAGTGACGATTCGTCTATATAAATAATTATGTTGTTTTTAATCAGTAACAAAGTTTTGTACGGGTTACCTCGCTTTAATTTTCTACATTCGAAAATTCTGCAATAAATTTATGGTCAAAGGGGAACAAACATGAAATTGTTTCACTCCGTAGTTTAGCTGAAGTAATCCCCCTTATTGAACCGCTTTCTTAAAAGCCAAAAAACATTTGATTTAACAAATTAAACTCGAGCTAAATATTTTCTAAATAGCTCATAATTAAATTTTGATAATCTCAAGTACTTTTTAACAGTCTAACCAATAAAGTATCTAGAAGAAACAAGATCAATAATCTAAATTTGACCGTAGCTGTTGGTTTTTTGAAAGTTATATTTCTGGGCATGTTTTGGTAAAAAATTTGCTAATATTTTTAAATAACAGAATGAATAAAATTAGTGACGATTCGTCTATATAAATAATTATGTTGTTTTTAATCAGTAACTTAGTTTTGTTCGTGTTATCTTCCTTGGAATTTCTAAATTCGAAAATTCAGCAAAGGGGAGCAAACATGAAATTGTTTCATTTCGTAGTTCAGCTAAAGTAGCCTTCCTTAAAATAAACTGTCTTATTAAGAAAAATTAAAAAAAAAAAAAACATTTTATTAACAAGCTTTTATGTAATAATGCACTAAAAATGAGAAAATAAATGATTTCTTAAAATATATAACAATGAGTTTCTATTTAAATAACTAAAATAATAGCGTAGGTCGATATTTTATATATTGAATGCCTTTACCAGAATTTAAGAAGTGTCCTAAGCTTCTATTATTATTTTAAATAATATTTCAATTGGCTGTAATATATTTAATTCCCTCTCATTATTCCCTTTATAGTAAAAAAATCACATGGAAGTATGGAAATTTCTAAATTTAACATTATTTCTAATTAAACCTCAACCATTTCAATTTAACATTAACACTAGTTGACACACTAGTTGACGGGTCATCTACATAACAGGACAGCCGCACGGCAGGTCCGCTGCATCACGGGTCCCTCACTGAACTCCTCAACTTTGTCAGTCCTGTCATGTTCTGGAACCCAATGTTTAATCGGGTGCTGCAGTAGGTGACGATGGCACCATACATGTTTTCTCTTTAACTTCTGGTCACAGGTGTTCTGTCAAGAAAGCAGTGGCGTCGCTAGGTCGGGTGTCACGCGGTGCGGTTTCTAATGGTGTCACCCCCCCCCCCCTACCCGAAATAATTTTAAATATATATGCCTAAATTTAAATATATAGGCATTTAAATACCTCATTTTTAATGTATTTAAATGTTTTTGAAGCTACGCACTTTTGGGCTGAACTTCGTCTTCTTTCTTATCTATAGGAAAATAAGTAACATAGCAACCAAATACAATTTTTACAACGTTTGTATCCGCTAGAATCTCTTTGCCTCTGATGGGTATACTTAATTTGTAATTAAATTATTATAATTTTACATATTCCATTGCATAATATACACAATCTCAAGATTAAATTGATTTACGAAGTGAATTAGTTGTCTCAAAATGCTTGTCAACTCTTTTCATAGCTGACAAAAAGCGTCAAAACGTGTCAATGTCGCAAGTCAACCAGTTCTATTTATATGTTGCTCGATTTTTATTGCCGATGGATATGTAGATTTGTAAATTTCCAATGTGGTTTCACCCCAATCGACCTCGGTGAACGGTGTATTTGGTATTCCCCCCCCCCCCCCCACCTTTTTGTTGAGCGGCGTTAACTTATATTAATCTACCTAGAAAAAGCATTGAGGGGCCTAATTCAAGTGGAAAAACCTTGGCTTTTGTAGAAAGTTATTGATTTGGTATCACCCCCATCCTAGTTGTCGATTGACATATCAGTGATTACAATTCTCAACAAAACCTTATTCCTCATGCAAATGTTAAAATGTTTAGTTGGTGTAGACCCCCCACCCCATGATAGCTTTAAATTGTGCCCAAATAATACTAACGGTATTTATCTATAGTAGGTTATTAATACGACTGGATGTGGCGTTGTTTTCTCTATCGCTAACATGTTTACCTCATGGTGTCACCCCCACCCACTATCGTCGGGATTTTTCAGCTTAGCTCTTAGAAGACTATTTAACTCTAATTTATCATTCTTTTAACTGGAACGATCATTGTTTTTCCCTATATATTTTACTATTTTCTGACTTGGTGTCACCCCCCCCCCTCCTAAATAGTGTCACCGGTACGATCCGCCCTCAAACTTTGGGGTGTTGATAACAACACTCCAGGGAAGGGTTCTACAAACTAATCTTTTTTAATTTCGCAAGGGCGGCGCCACGGGAGGGTGCGATTTTTCTCTATATACGGTATATAAAAATAATAAAATGTGAATTGCAGTGACACGGTTCACTCGATTGCCATGAAACTTTAAGAAGATGTTGAGAATACTCCTGGGGAGGTTTTTGCGCGCCTCCCCCTCCCACGTAAAGATGCCTGGCAGAAACTCTGTTCGTTAGCCGTTAGGCTACAACGGAGGGAAACGATGAACTCAACTGCTTCTTCCGATGTAGGGTTTTAAATAATATAAATATTCTGTACATTTTATACATCCTGGTTGTTTATTTATGCTATATTATTAAGTAGGCCTACAACCCCATAGTTTTGTAAAAATGTTACAGGCTTATTGTTAATTTGTTTTTGTTTTTCAACGACCCAAACACACAGGGTTACAACACGGGACGACCCAAACACACAGGGTCACAACACGGGACGACCCAAACACACAGGGTCACAACACGGGACGACCCAAACACACAGGGTCACAACACGGGACGACCCAAACACACAGGGTCACAACACGGGGGCAGAGGTGCGGCTAACAACATTTAGACGTTTTTCAACGACCCAAACACATAAGGTTACAACACGGGACGACCCAAACACACAGGGTCACAACACGGGGGCAGAGGTGTGGCTAACAACATTTAGACGTGACATCATGACGAAACATGTAAAATTTACTTAAAAAATTATATTGTATCCAGCTAAAATAATAAAAGATAAGTCAGAGAGGGGTGACACCCCACCGAAAATGTAAAGTTGTGGGGGACGATAGGGTGGCATCTTTAGTAAACGCGTTAGGGAACACCCGACTTTGCAACGCCACAATCACTTTTTTTTTAATCTGCTCATAATTTATTTAGATCTATTTTTTCCTCATGCTTTTAATTTTGAAAAATGATTAATAAGTTCCTTGAGATCTATTTTAGCTGCTTCTGTATGTTAGATACTTAGGATAGCTACTGACCCAATGGGCTTATCTACAATTTGTTTCATAACAAATTAATAGCATCGTAATGAACACATAATGAGATTAAAAAATTCCATCACATACATCTAAATCCCCTTCCTGATCACAGTGGAATGTTAAAGAATGTTTATCTGTAGCAATCATATCCATCCGCGTTGCTGCGATCTAGTCCCACATACCAGTATAATGAAACAATTTGTAAGGGTTTCATCAACGCGTTACCAATTGTGTATTTTTAGTCGTGTGACTGTTTTCTAAAATTGAGATAGTTAAAAGGTAAACAACGCCACTGTTATTTTTTTTCGGATCTTTGTTGCGTGGCGCGGGTTTGTCCACACTACCGGTCAGACGCCCTTGAAAGCATTGAGTGTAAGTTGATCATTCTCCGTTATAGTGAGGTTGAACACCTTTCAGCGACCGCCTAAATGTGTCGCGGGA